CGCCGCAGAGTGAGGCTGGGAACCGGAAGATGACGTCATCTTCCGGCTCCCAGCCTCACTTTGCGGCGCGCGAGGGAGCTGAGCAGACCGCTCAGGGGAAGAGCTCCCTCGCCAGCCGCCTGCCTAGCCCAGCCGGCATCCACTGGACCACCAGGGAGGTAATGAACCCCTCCCCCCCAGCACTCCCAAAGGTAAGGGGGGGGGCTAAATAAAAATAAATAAAAAAATGTGTTAATGTGAGTGAGTGAGTGTGTGTCTGTTAATGTGTGTGTGTTTTGTTAGTGTGTGTGTGTCTGACTGTGTCTGTTAGTGTGTATGTGTGTGTGTCTGACTGTGTGTCAGTGAGTGTGTGTTTGCCTGTGTGTGTGTGTGTCAGTGAGTGTGTGTTTGCCTGTGAGTGTGTGTGTGTCTGTTAATGTGTGTGTGTTTGTTAGTGTGTGTGTGTGTGTCTGCTAGTGAGTGAGTGTGTCTGTTTGTGTGTGTCTGACTATGTTTGTCTGTTAGTGTGTCAGTGAGTGTGTGTGTGTCTGACTGTGTGAGTGTGTTTGCCTGTGAGTGTGTTTGCCTGTGAGTGTGTGTGTGTTAGTGAGTGTATGTCTGTTAGTGAGTGTGAGTGTGTCTGTTAGTGTGTGTGTGTGTTTCTGTTAGCGAGTGTATGCGTATCTGTCAGTGAATGTGTGTGTGTGTATTTAGAAGGCGGGGGGGGTTGGTGCAGGGGGGGTTGGCGCAGGGGGAGGGGAGGGGCGCCTGCGTTTTGTCCTGCCTAGGGCAGCACAAAACCAGGATACACCACTGAATTGCACATGTCTACTTGACATTAAATGTCTGTTGCCACAGTTCTGACCATTTTTCTAGTTTATCTAAACCATTTGCCATTTGGCTTATCCCTCCTGGAACATCAACACTGTTACATATTTTTGTATCATCAGCAAAAAGACATACCTTACCGTCAAGACCTTCTGCAATATCACTAATAAAAATATTATAGAGAATGGGTCCAAGTACAGATCCCTGAGGTACCCCGCTGGTAACAAGATTAGTTTGGCATGACCTCCCTGAAGTAAACCTATGTTTTCTCTGATCTTGAAATCTCTGTGATTTTAGATGGTCAACAATCCTATCCTTTAACTTGGTTTCCATTACTTTCCCCACTACTCAAGTAAGGCTTACTTTCCTATAATTGCCCGATTCCTCCCTACTACCTTTCTTGTGAATGGGCACAATATTCGCTAATTTCCAATCTGGGACTACTTCCATTAACAATGATTAGTTTAATAAATCCTTTAGTGGTTTTGCTAGTACACCACTAAGCTCTTTTAATAACTTTGGGTGTATTCCATCAGGCCCCATCGACTTATTTGTCTTTACTTTTGACAGTTGAAGTAAAACCTCTTCCTGTTTAAACTCACATGTAACAAATGACTCATTTGTCATTTTTCCTAACTGAAGTCCCTTTCCTTCATTTTCAGTTGTAAATACGGAACAAAAATATTAATTGAAGTAGTCAGCTAGATCTTTATCCTCTTCTACATACCTACCTTTTGTTTTTAATCTAACTAATCCTTGCTTTTCTTTTTCTCATTTATGTATCTAAAAATGTTTTTTCCAACTTCTTTACTGACTGAGCCATTTTCTCTTCTGTGTGTGATTTGGAAGCTCTTATAACTTGCTTAGCCTCTTTCTGCTTAATCCTATAGATCTGTCTATCTTCCTTACTCTTGTTTTTTTTATAATTACTAAATGCTAACTTTTTGTTTTTTTACTATTTTGGCCACAGTGGTTTCTTACATTTTTTGCTCTTACTGACAAGCCTATGGCAATTTTGGGGGGAATGGTTCAGTCCATTATATTAAGTAGGTGTTATGAGATATGTGTGCAATGGAACAACTGCAACAAATTCATAGCTTCAATAACAAAAGAGGAAATAAAATCAAAAGTTCCTATATGAATTGATGTTAAGGTCTGGAACACAAGGAGAGGGTCACTGTTCGTTCATAGGACACACCCTCCTCCTCAAACTATACCCCCTCTGGGCCGTCTCGGAAACCTGAGATGATTACAGGAGGTATAAACTTAATTGATAGTAAAATGTTTAATGTGCTTACAAGGGGCCAAGATCTCATATTGTGTAAATTGCCAAGTTTCCTTGCCAGGGCTCCCCCGGGTAGAAAACACCTTTACTAAGTGAGTGAATAATTAGGACTTCTGTTAAATAGGACTCCTATTCGTTCTCCTTTCATTTAAATCTTATTTATTTATATTAAATTCTTTATTTTTGGTTTCAATCCACAGTTGACATTTTAAAAACAGAGTTTAAATGCAAGGTTATACATGGATATCAAGCATAGTAGATAGCCTTAACTTACAGCTAAACATCATGCAGTGGGTTACCTTTTATTTTTTACCTGTTGATTGGTGTAAATAACGTTTTGTCATCTATTTTTTGTATGCACTGTGACTATTGTTTGTTCATTTATTACGTTCTGCCTTTGTCTTGTAAAGACACACGTTACCTGGTTAAATGTTACCTGAAGCAACCAATTTATTAGTGTTTTTAAGTTGCATAGCTATTGTGCTAAATTGTATTTGGTGGGTTTTTATTCAAAACATTTTTTTTAACCTCATTTATAAATTGTCTTGGTGGTGTCAGTGTTAAAAATAGTAATATTTATAAGTGTGGGTGGTGGTAAGGTTTTTCTTTAATCATTATTTCCGGTCTAATGCAGACAAATTGTGCATTTATAACACTTGGAATAGGGTGCATTTATGACAACGGGTACCATGACTGATATTATTACACAGTGCTCCAGCCAATATTGTTATTTTCTAACACCCCCAAAATATACTATGGATTCCCAGGAGCCTTTGTTCCAGAAATGAAATACTCTCTTTTGTCCTGGCTCATCGTGTTACTGTTGGGAACAGAAGCAACCGTGCATGCTTTGAGATTTCAAGTGTGATAGAAACAATGTTGATGATTGTTCTTTTGTACCATTCCATCCTCCGTTTACTTGTGTATGGTATGTTGTCTTACCTGTTCTTACTCCTCCTACTTCCTCCTGTAATCCTCTCCTTCTGTTTGGAACTATCATCCAGGTTATCAGACGACAAGTTAAAAAATGAGCATAAAGTAAATTAAATCCTCTCTTGCTGTCATTGTACTAATTAGCTGTGTGCACCAAGTCTTCCAATGCAAAAATGTTTTACTCTGTTATGTTTGGCCTTAACAGACTAAATATCACAACAGTTGCAACAGGGTTTACATATATCTAACCATTAAGGTTGCATATTTTAAAAGGACAATCCACTGCCCAAATACACAATAAATACAAATAACTGTTTAGTAGATATACCCCCAAATGAAAACTTGCATGCATTTACTTATGCAATTTTTTATTGGAGTTATATCTAAAAATGGCTTTCAAACACTGCAGATCTCTTGTCTGCTGCCTTTGCAAGCCCTCCCCTTCTAACCCAGCCTAGACTTTTTGTGGCTGTCCAAATACAGACATTCCTATGAAGCTCAGTGAGAAGTCTTTGCAAGCCAGGTGCTCTGAGCAATTGCTACCTCTTGAGTTTAGCTCCACTGAGCTACCCAAACCAGGAAGTAACAGGACCTCTTGTCTGCTTGGAAGTCAAGGTTAATTTAAATTTTAAAAAGTGTCACTTTCTGTTAAAATCTGCACTTTTTCAAAATGAAAAAGAGGGGACACTCTTCACACATAAATCTTTCCAGCGAGCTAAAGTGCTCTAAGGGTCTGGAGTGTAACTTTAAGTTAAGACTTTAGATAAAGAATTTTTTTTTTATATTCTGCAAGCTGTGCAACTGTTCAAGTTCGACAAGATTGACATTGAAAACGCAAAAGTGTAAATTCTGCAATTTCAGTGGGACTGGAGATGCGCAGGGGTATGAGTGTATTGTATTGTAATACACTCATTGGTTGACAGTATTCCATAAAACAAATCAGGAATCTCTCATCTGTTATCTGTTTTTCTTATGTTTCTATAGGGAATCAACACAGTAAAGGAGGAGACTATATTTAAAAGAAGAAAAACTACCACAACAAGAGGACAGTCTTAAATTAGAGGGGCAAAGGTTTAAAAATATCAGGAAGTATTGCTTTACTGAGAGGGTAGTTGATGCATGGAATAGCCTTCCAGCTGAAGTGGTAGATGTTAACACAGTAAAGGAGTTTAAGCATGCATAGGATATGTATAAGGCTATCCTAGCTACGAGATACGGCCAGGGACTAATGAAAGTATTTAGAAAATTGGGCAGACTAGATAGGCTGAATGGTTCTTATCTGCCATCACATTCTATGTCTTTATGTAGAGAGATTGATGATATTTTTCATGAAGTGCCTTCAATTGGGCATCAATTCGTCTTCACCTTCCCAACCGTTCTCCTATAGATATGCCATTCTGACTAGTTTCCACCTTGCATATAGGCTCAGTTTTGTATCTACAAAGATTTTTACTTGGAAGATAGTCAGAAATGAGGCCATTTTAAGTGTATTCTCTTTTGCAAATATGGATGTTGTTGCCCAACCTTTTCACTGGGCAGACCTAGTGGAGCTATCACATTTGTGCAATGACTATTATACTCATACCTTCATGGAATAAAGCGAAATGTCACATCTGTAGAGTCAATAGCCTTGGGTGCCATAGCTTTAGTTGCTTTCTTATCTTTCAAACATACAGCATCATTAGTAGCCAACCCATTACATAAAAATCCATTAGCAACATCTCATATGTGGCTGGGGAGCATAGACTGTGGTCCAGGCTACATCACTCTCTTCCTTGCCACACCATGAGGAAACATGGAGGGGAGTCCATGTATCTACCACCTCGCAACCAGAACACGAGGGACCAAGGACCCATAAATTAAGCTACAGGAATGAGACAGAACATTTGTGGGTTCTAAAATGATTGTTTGCATGGCACCCCCACATCTCTGCAATTAATTATTTAAGGTACAAGTCAGGAGCAAGAAATAAAAATGGCTGTACATATTGATATGTCTTTATTTCATTAACAGAAATGGTGTCTAGACAAAATTTTGTTAACACTAGCAGTTCAAATGAATGAAAATTTGCACAATACTGTATTTACATATTTTAATTCATTAGTTCATAGCATTGCTGTTTTCTTTCCAAAAAGGTAAAAACTTTTAGTAACATAGAAGCGTAAACAGCTCATTTTTTTATTACAAGAAAAACCACGAGAAAAAACCACAGTTACTTAGAAAAAATAATAATAGACAAGCTTAAGAACTAGTACAATAAAATGCTGCATTGAATTAAGTTACATCGCATAGAATCTGTGTAAAAAGTATGTAGAAAAAACACCTGATGCAACCTGTTACAGTCATTGACCAGTAATGAGAGGTACAGAGGATTTTTTTTACAGGTAGATGTGTGTGTGAAGAATTGTCCATTCTGTTTGAGCTGGGGAGGGATGAGAGGGAGGTTGAGGCCTCCGCTTGCATACACTGATAAAACCCTGTTTGAATATGGATTTTGAAGTCTCTAAGGCAAAGAAATGAGAGGTGCACTTGCATTCAACTAATTCTACATTATGAGGAATCTGACATCAGCACCAACTTAGGATGGAGGACGTGCTGCTTTGGTCAGAGTGACTAATGTTCAAACTTATTGGCCTCAGTAGAGAAGCAGTGAAGAGGAAAAAAAAAATTTGAAGAAAAAAAAAAAAAAGAGGGAGAACAAGTATTTTGTCCGTTATGAATCCAGCTATCGCCAGAACCCTAGGTTTCAAGACACTTCACGTAAATAAGAATTTGCATTGGCCTTTCACAGCAAATGTCTGTTTCATAGTCCACCACAATACAGCTCTTGTAGATGAATGTGATCAAAACACCTATTGATATTCATGTGTCTATTGTGATCTGCAGTGACTAGAAAATGTCAATGTATGGCATTCATTTCTTATTATAACAGCTAAACAAACAACAAAGCCACAGCTGAAACATGTTTAGATGCCAATGGAAGAGTGATAGAAAGGTAACCCTCCAAGTGCCAAAGTGGTGAAATTTGTACTATGTACCTTCCCTCTGGCATGAAGTAGCACATGATACAGGGTAGGGGCTTTTAGCCTAAAAGAAAAGAAATATAAACAAGTAATCAGCTTACATTTTTTTCCTCCCTAGCAAATGAGTTATGTTCAATATGTGGCGTTACTGCTTGATAAAGCTTTATAGAATAGCGGAGGGAGTAACTTATGAACTAACCTAGTGGTAAGTAGGTGTACAATGCATTTCAAGACTGACACTGAAACAAACCATATTATTTTTTTAAACACATCTACAAATAATGTAACATCTTTGCTTAAGAGTGTTAATAACTGATGTGTGTAATGGACCACCAAAAACCAAAATGTTATAATATAAATGATTTCCTAATGTGATTCCAGCGAAGACAGGAACTCTACCCTTTAATATAATATTTTATTCTGATTTATAAAATATTACACTTTTAATGGTGAGTAAATGAGCAATGCTTCCAAAGGTTAGCTTAGATTGAAGTGGTCAGCTGGTAGCTGTTTTCGACTACAATTTCATCTACAGTCAGGCAGCAATATTATACAGAAGTAGCATTGGATTATTTGCTGAAACAGGCCATTTCTTGTTTACAGAGAAACCATGATTTTGTACTGGAATCATTAGAGGTTAAGATTAATTTTGGGACCAAGTTCTAGAAACAGAGAAATCATATAAACATTCCATTGGTTTCCATGGTGACTGCTTAATTTTTTTTTAAGAAAAACAAAAATCATAAAATTGCTGTCTATCTATAAATGTGATTGTAGATTTAACGAACTACTGAAAAACAAACACAGTTGGGTTTTTAGTTGCACATTTCACACATACAGCATCATTAGGAGCAAATCCATTAGAAAAAAAAAATGACAACCGTATTCAAGTATCCCAAAACACCTGGAATATTAATATAGCTCTCTCGTCTCTGAATTTCTATGTATAAATAGGTCGGCACAAAATAAAGTAACAGTATTTTGCTGTCTTCCCAAGAATGCACAACAGTGGAGCCATTAAGCCAGTTAAGTGCTAAAGAATCCTGCAGCAAATGAATTGTTCTTCTGCACTATAATGGCCACCTAAGCTCCACGTTGTGCACAGGTTAAAATAAAATACAGTTGATCAAAGTAATGTTTATTTTTTATTTTTTTTTAGTTTATAAGGAGAAAAATAATTTTATTGTCACATATTGCTCCTCTATAAATCCTTTATGTATATTGTATGTATATATACACAGACAGTAGGTCCTTATTTATGGTAATACAGCACCCGAATGGATGCCAGTCATTAAATATTACTTGGTTTCTTTTTTTTTTCATTTTTATAAATACATAAACTTATTTACTGCACATATATGTTTAGCAAAACATCTACCTGAATATATACAATAAGTGGATAAACACTAAGGCTGTGTACGCCACAGAAGATGCAAAAAAATAAATTTAAAAAATTGAATTTGAAGTGCGTCATAGCGTTTAGCCAAGAAATGCTCCGTGGTAAACAGAGTCCTGTACATTTTATTAAATGCTGCACAGGAAAAATTCAGTTCTAAAAAAAACATACTTCTACGTATTTGGGTAGCATACATGGCTAGGTTAAATGGTAGAACTCATAAGTGTAGGTTAATCTAAAAAGATTTTAGAACAGCTAATTCTTACAGAATATTTGTCTAATTTCTCCTTGCACATGGGGAGTGATAAAAAAAAATTCAGCTGATAATGTTAGGAGCTTGTTTTATAGTCTTGTTATCTCTGATTCCACAATTTTGGAGTTTTAATGTCACATGTCTAGGAAGGGCACATATCCAAAATTATTTTTTTTCAGGTCATCTCATGAGTTTCCATACAAACAGCTAACTATACAAGTACTCCTTAGACAAATAAAATAGTTTATCCCCAATATAGAATGTGAGTTATTGTGGGGTGCAGTTTAATTATATTTTTGGAGTTTACTGACCCGACGAAACCCTTGAGTGGAAGTACTAGTTTGCCGTAAATGGACCTCTATGTTTCATGCTGGGCCTTACTACTTATTGTACCTTTACTTATCTCTTTCTATTTACATGCTATGAAGTGTATCATCAAATTATCAGCATTTTTTTTTTTTATCAGTTTATACATTTAATACACAAAAACAACTCGCTCTTTAAATCCTACATCCACAATCGGGGGTTTTATAAACATAAGACAAGCCAAGACTACTACCTTGTAGCAGCTGTTCCACTGAGTATTCGTTAAGTGCTCATATTTCACTGTAAAAAAAACTACAACAATTTGGAACCATCATCCCACATCTGTATGTGCCCGGATGTCCAGAGTTGCCCTTTTAAAAGGTTTTGGGATAAACTGCACCTCTTTTCATATGTGACATAACCACTCCTTGGCTTATCCTATGCATCCTGTAGAATTTTGAAAACTCTGAATCAAAGATTATCCAAAAAAAAAAAATACTGTAACCTTTTAGGTTCTATATATTAATTCTTACTTTTATTTGTACCTTTAAAAGGTTATATAATACTATTAGTAATTGTCATTCAACAAACCTAGCAATGACGAAATTAAGCTTTTTTTAAATTTTATTTTAAATACCCCAAGTTTTCTTTAGGATATTATAAAACATAATTCACATGCCTTAAGCTAGCTATTGTACAGTATTTCATGGTGGGTATCACATACCATGTGACCTGTGCCAAACTGGCTAAACAACCTCTGGCATTTAGTCTGCTGAGGACTATAACTCTCATAAGGCTCAACCAGCCAAATCACTAGCTGAAGTCACTAACTACTTGGGTAGTAATTATGCTTCATGTTACGGGCGATTCTGGCTGAGTGGTATGGGAACTATAGCCCAACTCAGCTATAGTGTCAATGCAGTATGTATGTGTTTGTGTGTATATATATATATATAAATATATATATATATATACACACATACATACATGCTAGAATAACTTTACAACATGATTAAATAATATATATCTAATTAGTTTAACTGCACAATGAAAATGACAGAAAAAAGATAAAAAATTGAGGGAAAAAAAAAGCTAAACTTTTTGTAAAAATAAAAACGCGACGCTTTGTAATCATTGGAGAGATAGCATTACCAATGCCAGTTATAACAAACAACTTTACAATATTAGCGCAAATATCCTTCCGACAGGTACAACGTGGATAAAAACCAACAGTCTGGACATGTAATGTAGTCACCACACACAAAATACATATTATACAGTATATATTTATATGATACAGAACTCTTAAACCATGATATACATGTTAAAACTATTAAATAATGATTATCTACTCTAAGTTATAATGGCTGGAAATAGGTCTACGGCGTGGCTGCTGCGTTATACTGGTGAGATATGTTTCACTCAGTGAAATCTCTCAAATGTAGACAACTTATTTGCATCAACAATGCAAAAAATAAAGACAAAACACAAAAAACCAAGTCAAACATATTTTATCATTATGACATAATGCCCATATGGTATAGTGAAAAATACTGCAGGAACTGTCCTTTAGAAAAACCTTAAGTTAAGTTGGAGAATGTGATTACATATAAAATATTCTATACTGTTTTTACAACCTAGACAACAGAATGAGGCTCCACAAAATAAATTTGATGTTTACCAGAGAGAAACATAGCTTGTAAAGTCCGATCGGAATCAACGGAGTCATTCAAACAGCCCATTTTCCTCTTTGAATTTCTTCTTTGTTTATGTTCTCAAAAACCTTTTACCCTTTTACTACCTAGCAAACTTTCACCAACTTTGACTCTTTGAGCTAGCATATTTTGAGTTTGTGACTGTGGCAAGGATCCAACAAAATTGGATTGGGACTACAACCAGGAGCGTTCTTCAAATTGTGATGCACCAATAAACGTGCTAAACTGTTCCATAAAACAGCAGGATCAGATTACACCGGTGACTCCAGCTCCATTCTAACAAGTTCTTTTAATCATCAGGTGTTCTTAAACCTGTTACTGACATAGCAGTCTTTATTAATGAAAGTATTAGGCCAATTAAGAGAAGCAATTTGTAGCTTCATCCAATACAATTTAAGAACCCAAGCTATTTGAAGAGAGTAACCTTAAGAGCAAACATGATAATTATATATATTAACACAAGAAAATTGTGAATTTTGTTGAGAACATCAGTGTAACGCTTTCATATTCTTAGTTGCCAGGCATACTGCAAAATACCAGACATGTGATTAATGGAAAAAGGGCTGGAAACACAAGCCTAAACTGAGCCTTGAATTTACGGGTACTTGCTGTATGTCACCTTGGTTAACAAAAACAAGGAATTCCGATGTTTTTAGCTATAAGTCGGATATATACGATTATGCCTTAATGTTAACCTTGCACACATAGAACCCTCAAACAGAACCTAAAGGAAAATATGGATTGTATTGTAATCTAGAATGAGTTCTAAATTAGATATGAGATAAAACAACGTCTAACATTAATTACACAATAATCTCATCCCGTTGGACAGATGTAATACCAGAACAGCAGCTGGAGTGACGTGGGCTGCATAAGCATACTAAGAGCTAATACACAAAGGCACGCATCAGTTAAAATTGCACCTTTGTAACAGTGTTGCCTTTCAATGTGGTTTACCATAGAATAGTTCTGACTGCATGGCAAATAGCAGGGGTTCACAGACTCTTCCATAACTGTTGGTATACATCTGGATTGCTCTGGATACTGCCAGAAAAATGGGCTAAAGAACCAGCCTATCCAAAATAGGAGCAGCTATGAGGAACAGCAAACATACCCGGATGGAAGACGTTTTACTGTTTTCATAAGAAGAAGTGGCGACACATACTACATTATAACACATACTACGTTGTATTTTGGGGGAAATATAGAGGAAGGTTTGAAGTAAACCGTAAAATCTATAGGACAACCACAACATTATTTTGACAAGAATGCAGTCATAAAGCAGGCAATCACGTGAATTGGACACTATTATAATGAAAGTGGGAGAGAACAGTGGCATGCAGTAGCACAAAGAAAAACCCACGGCCAATTTGGAGCGATCTTGTGTATATAAAAGCTACAAAAAACCCCGAGAAGAATGTATTTAAAAGACAGGAAGAATTGGAAAATGAATTAACAAAATATTGGTGGTACCTGTTATCTTTCCAACTATACAACGTGACCCAAATCCACATTACCAAATCATGCAGTAAATGTTTTTGACATCTTTATATATAGATTATTTTTTGACATAATTTTAGTTGTTGTCGGGCACAACATAACAAGAATACTAATAAAAAAAAATAAAATAAAAAATATTGTAATACACAAATAAATTATTTACACAAAGAAATAAATAGGTTATTGAACAGCATCAAAACTGACGCCAAAGTCAAACGATCAAAGGAGTTCTTTACCATCCAACTACTAGAAGATTTAGGAAAATGTATCTATCCATCCCTGTTCCATCATTCTTAATTTTCCAGATGCAGTTTGCATTAAATCAAAGTGTATCCAGTACGTTGAAGGTATTCATTCACATGTGACAGCGCAGAAATTCTCAAAGTAAATATAATGCACAAATGAAATAACATAACAAAAACATTAGAGCCAAAGGCAATAAAAGGGTGAGCAAACAAATACTGCACAACACTAAATAAGCGCTATCCAATGGCTTATAGAAGAAATGGTCCAAAATACTTTCTAGTGACCTTTTATACTCTTGCGATATAACGGATATGGGATATTCTACGATAGCTATCCAATGTCATCACATAAATAAATACAGGACATTTTTGTCACTCCGTCAACCAATGCTAAGCATTGTAAGAATGATGGAGTCTGTCATACCAGGAATAAGTTAGTTTATAATGCCCTAATTAGAAAGGGTAATTATAGAAGGTATAGAAGAACAGATTGGCTCAGACTTTCATCCTGAGATATAAGGTGTTTTACAATGTGATGAACAGTTATTTAATAGAATCATCCATTGTTTCATAAATCTCCATGTTAACTACGTTTGAGATTCTCTAATAACTAATACAAAAGGATTCCTTGGAAAATTTAACAAAATGTATAAGTGTAGACAGATCAGCTATGTGGGTAAGAGGGGTGAATAAGGAAATAAGAATTCGATATACATGGTGTATGTTTCAAAAACATTTTTAAAGTACTAAATAATCATGTTTCCAAGAAAATCATTTGCCTTTTACATATGCCTTCCGAATGGCTGATCATTCTTGCTGCCCAGTTTCTGTTATGGCTTATCACGGACCCTCTGAACCTTGAAATATTTACAATATAACAATGAACTATGCAAGCTTAGCTTATTCTTCGAGGTTTTGCATTTTCATAATATATAACTGAAACAAGGGATATAATGAAGGCAAACATGGGCTCTATCTCTTTTCTTCAACTGAATCTGGCCTGACACTTCCCCAGTGGGAATAAGCATATAGATGGGTATATACTGGTACTCATGTTAAGGAATCATATCTATAAAAAAAAGTGTATAGGTTGGAATTTACATAATGTTTAGAGGCAACATTTTATAGAATTTACTCCAAACAGAGACTGCGTAAAAGCCTTTTTATATTTCTAAATAAATAAATAAATATTAAGGCCAAATAATTGCAATTATTACTCTTTGATAAATCAAGGTCAGGACCTCAAAGTTTTACCAGTTTTAAACAGAAGCATTTTTTTTTTGTTTTTATGTTTTGTGTTTTAGGATTAGGGTGTTTGGATTGATTAAATTTGTAAAAGAGAAGGTCAGTGTATTCAATGTCTCAAAACACAGAGTGGAGTATATAATCGTAGAACAAGCCCTTAGGCCTGTGTTCGTTAAATAATACCACTTGCAGGTCTGTGATGACTATGAACTAAACCGATGATCCAAAAAATTCTATGTTGCAATGGCTAAACTTGCCCATTAGGCAAAGTGGGGAGAGACCAGTTTTTAGCTGCCTTATCTAGAAGTAAAACGTGTTTTAGTAAGTTCCTCTCGTTTTTTTTTTTTTTTTTAAATTGCATAGTTACTCTGCATTTTTTTAGAATTGCATAGTTAATCTGCAGTTCTCTCGTAGACCCCCAAAAATGCAGAACTATTTTCTTTAGGTGCACAAAACTTTTGTGTTGAAGTGTGTTTGTGTAATTTGTGTAATGACACAAACAGTGCTTTACATATGACCTAATGTACACTGAGCCAACATACATGACAATGGACATGTATGGTTAGGTGCAATTCTTCTTTAAGTAGTAAAGACATTAACCAATGACCTAATAATGTCTACATGAAGATATTAACTCCTTTGTGAGGCTAGTTACATATTTTTTGTCACACATCTCAACAAAGCAGTTACATTAGGCTCATTAGCAATGTTCCAATATATATGTATATATATTTTAATCTGGCCCCATCGTGTTATATCTAATGCATTCCTATTGCCAAATCCGATGTTCTTTACCCTTTATCTCTATCCCCTTGTACATATGGTGTATGCGCTTTACAAGTATAGCTTATTTACACATTCTACTCACTTTGTTCTACTTTATTGTAGGATTCCCTCATCTTTGAAATAATACACAGAGTTATAACACTTAAAAAATTAAAATATAATACTAACATTTGTCACCAGGATATCTTATCGCCACATGGCATATAGCATGGTTTCCTTTGACACGTCATCAAAATAAAAACAAGTAAGATCAGAGGTTAAAACTAATAACACAAAGAGCCAAGGGAAGGTAGCCAAATTGGTTTAACCAACAGCCTTGTCGGACACTCAAAAATTATGGGAAAATTCATCATCTGTGAGAAACTGGGCCTGCTTAGTGTAAAAGCAGGAGAAATTCCAAAATACACTGATAACTCTGCAATCTACATCCAATTGGATTGGCTGGGTTATTCCTTAAAACAGGAATTTGTGGAGAATTGCAAGGCAAATTTAAGGACAAAATATGCAACTTGGAGAAGTGGGGGAGTTGAGTATTTTTTATATGTGGCTATTATATTCTAAAATTTTGAAACTACCTTGAAATTCGCCACATATTCCCAGTTTAGCGAATAATTATGTGGAGTGTTACTATGGTATCACAAACAGTAATTGTGTCCAAAGTAGTTTTTCTTTACCAGTATTTCAAATATGGTCATGAAATGCACAAAACACTGCACTGAATGCCTACATTGCGAGCGGCACCACACATTATAGACTTTTAAATAATTACTTGTTGCCACCAGATCTTACACTTGACAAGTAACGTGCTCTGTATGATCATTACATATAAAATGTAACTACTTGCAAACTGGAGCCATATTTACAATGCTGAGACTTCATAATATTTTTAATTTCATTATAGTGGTTTAAAGGTGAAATGCGCTGGCTCAAATATCACGGAATTTTCAAACATTGTACAAATGGATTTTGACCTGTCAGGAACAAAACTGGAAGATTTTTAATGACACAAAACAATGTCTATACAAGATCTGGACATATTTGGAGAGAGTGACTAGGCTTTGTTAACATCTGTCCAGATTTATCCATGACGCTTAGACAACCTACACTTGCCACTGCCCTAGCATTCTAAGTTTGAATAGGTTCTACCTACAAAAAAAACCAAAACAATTCTGACGTAGTCAATTTATGGTTCAGACTTTAAAATATAAGTGAATGGGGAATAGACTATCTACCGTTAAGCTTAAATTGACTGAGAAGTTGTTTTTAATTTGCAGTGCAAAAAAACATCCATATGCAGCTCTGATTTGTGTTATGTGGACAAAAAACGATTCTTTGTCCTGCAGATCAGAGCATTTTAGCTTCACAATCACAAGGCAACATCAAAAACCAAAGCCATATATGTATTTTTTTTTTTTTTTAAATAAGGTCATTATAACAGGAATCATAACATCCATGGATGACCCCTTTTTTCTGTTTCTTTTTACTCTTTTGAGTAAGGTAACACAGCAGTGAAACTGCATGGGATCCCACCACTGGAGAAGACTGTTTGACCAAGGAACCAGACCAGCTGAGAGACAAGTCTTGGATTAGAAGTCACAGAACTCCTCCTTCACATGCCAATAAAGAAAAAAAATAATTAAAACACCGTAAAAAGCAATTTTTTTCCTTTTAGCTAAGCAAAAATATTGCAGACGCAAGAGTTAAACAGACTTTCAGCGTTTGTGATATGAGGTAACTGATTTTCATTGGTTAATATGGACCAGGGCTGACCCCTATTTGCACAGAAGTGCTTACATTTCTGGAGGAAACAGTTGAAGAGGGTTAGATCACCAAGGTGTTCTATGGCCATTTCCAGGGGACGGTAACCCAGTTCCTCCCACCTTCTGTTAGCTACCAGAAAAAAATCCATGTTGCACATTCAGCATATGGGTGAACACCAAGCACCCTTAAAACACCAGCATTCTATCTTTGTTATAGAAACCAAAACGGAAGCAGGTTTAGTTTATCATGGTTTGCTTTTTTCCATGTACAAGAATAAATTACAACAAATACTGCTTTGTTTTATGTTTTTTTTAAGGAACCAGTATTAAGTTAATGGGGGAATGGCTATAATCTAAAATTAAAAAAAAGTAGAGAAATTAATTAAAAAAAAAAAAAGCTCCAATTTTATACTATGTGGTACATGTAATATTTGGCAACGTTAATGTTCCTATATCATATTCTCCTGAGTATTTGCATTTTTTTTCCTTCTTTTACAAAGCAGATAATGCATATGTAACCTTGTTAACAATAACACACAACAACCAAAGTCAGTGCAAGTGGCAAAGTATGACATACTGTACAGTATCGGCAAGAGAAAAATACCTGCAAACAAACATTGGTGGATTCACGTGATTACGCTATAGACAGAAGGGGGTACCATTAAACCTCTGGCACAGTATCTAAGAGCCGAATAATATTGCAGAATGGTGAAGAATACTGAGCATAGGTTGTGGTGTTAGTGACACAATTAGGAATGTTGGATCTTTTCTTGTCCAATAGCAATGGGGCAATTTCCAGTTTTATGGTGGTGCGAGGGTAAATCGATCAGGGTGCATGGACTTTTTGCATATGGGTTTTGCAACTTATTTACAGTTTACTTATAAAACCTTGATTTATATATGAACGGTCTTCAATGAAGAAAGAAAAAATAATATGAACATTCAGAGGATATTCCTGAGATAGGGTTTTGTGACGTGGGTCACTGAGAATAAAAAGCTGCAGTTGGATCCTCAGAGGTGTTCCTTCCATCCCTGTTAAGATCTGAAGTTAGAATACATTAAGAAATTAAAGAAAAAACCCACAAAGAGGACCGTGTTGCCTCTGTTTAGTTCCCTGCCTGAGCAAGGCATAGCACCATCGTGAAAAGAACTCCTGTTTTCAGAGAGTAGGGAAATCCTTATAAAACAGTATTGCTGCTAAGACTGCTGTAGTGTGCACCAATAAGGTTTCCTGGAGACAGTAACAGCCAAGGGCTGTTTAAATGACTTCTGAACGACCATGTATTTCATGCCAGATGTTCACTAGGTAAAGTCTTTCCGCGGCTGTTCATCCGTTGTACATTTTTCAGTCATTTCCTGGCAGAAGTCTACTGTAACCGTTTGGTTGTTTTGCTCTACGCATGCCCCTCTCTCTGTGTAAGTACCATGATCTGATCCTTCTTGTCCTCTTCTTGTCATACAATTTTCTGGTATATTGTTAGGAAGTGAGTGAGCTCCAAGTTGTACGGAGCCTTCCTCATTGCAGCACTGCATGTTTTCCCCGACATCCTGAGCTGAGACAAGGTTTAGTTCTCCTCGTGCTGGTAATGGGTTGAACGTGGCAGCTGTGGGTAGATCCAAGGGTCTTAGGACAGGGCAATATCTGTGCAGGGCTTGTATCTGCTCAGGACTTTGGATGTCCCTACAGACTTCCTGGGAAAGACAGGAGAAATTGTCCAGTAGCTCTCCCATGCATGCCTTCAACTGATTTCTCTCGGTTAATAACTTTTCTTTTTCGCATACCTAAGAATGACAAGAATCAATAATGATAAAATAAAAACAAATCCTTTTAACTGTTTACTCTAACATGAACCTATCACCATCAAAAGAATAGCTTCTTTCCTCAGTGTCTACAAAAATAATGCCTTGGGTTATCTTAGCTACCTTGGTCTTGATCATACTTGGTACGACTGTTTGATCCTCAATTATCAATCTTGATTATCTCAGCCAATCCAATGATTTCCCATAGCAAAGCTTTGGGAAGCTATTGTGCATACGCAGTAAAATGTTGCACAGCGTCAATCAGTTGCTTCTCATATAGATGCATTGAATTAATGCATCTCTATGTTGAACGTTCAGCGTCTCCATGCAGAGCACCTCTGAGTGACTGTCGCTAGAGGTGTGACTGGGCACCAATCTAAACACTGCCTTTTCTATGAAAAAGCAGATTTTACACTGAAAAGCCTGCAGGTCCCTTTAAAGCACAGATCTTCATCAGATGCTAGTTATTTCTCTTTGATGGGGTTACTAATGTGAAATACACATCAAGTGTAACTAGAGATTTTTCAAATCTAAATAAATATTTGGTAGTTGATGTTAACCCCATACAAACCCAATTCTATACCAATCCTACCCCTAACCCTGTGTTCAGACTAACTCTAACTGTAAACCTATCTTAACCTTACTTCTAAATGTAACCCTACACTATTCCTAAATCTAAAACAACATTAACCCTTACTTTAACCTAACAAGGGACATCTTCTCCTGATATCAGTTTGAACACTTATTTAGCCTTGCTCACATCAGACTTTTTTAGCCAGGGATTTATATTCACATTTATATGGAGCGCACACTTTCAGCTCATCTGTCAGTCTAGGGCCACTGACAGAGTGGTGACCCAGGTTTCAATTGATACAGAGGTCTTCACATTTATAAGGCTGTATGCATCACTCACTTTTAGTGCTGCATATCTGCCCCAGACTGACAGATGCTTTTAGTAGGAGATCACCACTCTGGGGCAGTAAAGCACTCTCAGTAGACAACCGAGTGGAATGTCCTAAAATTGTTGAGTGCTTAAAAAGCTCAAAAGACCAAATGCATTAACTATTATTATTTTTATTATTGGTATTTATATAGCGCTAACTAATTCCACAGCGCTTTACAATATTATATGAAATGTTGTTCCATCAACATTGTGTGCTTCTTACTGTTACTTACTAATTTATGGATTTCACACTCTAAGTTCTGAATGCAGTCGAGTTTCCGTTTTCTGCAGCGTTGGGCGGCAATTCTATTTTTGCTTCGACGGCGCACATCATGAATAAACTCCAACTGCTCTGAGGTTAGCTTGTGCATTTTTATCATCATCTGGAAATCATTCCGTGGAAGATCTGTGATTTGATCAATGGGAAAGGGCAGTTTGACCTAAATAACAGAAAGAAGATGATGAATAGGGTTTTCTAAACACACTGCTAATGCATTAATTGTTTGTATTGGTCTGTATGATACCATGGCTGATTTCTGAGTAACCTCACGAGCCACTATCAACTCTGTAGCCCATGGATCAGCGCAGCTAAGAGGAATAGGTCTTGACAGAGCCAGGAGGTAGGCATAGCAGCCACAGGAAGTTAGTGACAGCTAGCATGCTGGGTAGGACGGAGCCATAAGAGGAGTATTTATCCCAGCCATTATATAAAGTGGCCATTTTAACTGAACCTAAGCTTACCTGTCAGTTGTCCCTCCCACCCTCCCTGTATTTGGTTAGGTTAGTTGATTTGCCGTTTTTTCACAGCGGCGGGGAATGGCCTGGTTAAATCGGAGGGTAGATGGAGGAGAAAGTGGGCATCCTGAGGTTTAGTGTGGATTGGGCAGTGTTGCACGTGGTAGGTAGGTTCGAGCCCGTCGGTGGCTCCGAACCTGGGGGTGTGGTGGTTTCTTGGTACACCCTACACTGGAACTGGTGGGTAGCAGGGTCTTGCTACACCCCTACAATGGAGATGGTGGGTAGCGGTGTCTTGGTACACCCCTACAATCGATATGGTGGGTAGCGGTGTCTCGGTACCCCTACAATTTAACCTGGTGGAAATGTGGTCATATTGGGCGGCCAGTTTCTGTATTAACATGTTATTTAGATTGTTATCTATTGTTATTATTGTGGGGTCATTGCTAGGGGTATGTTATGTATATGGGGGATGTTAACTTTAATAAGATTTGTTGGCAATTACCTCATTTGTTATTCCTTAATTATTTTATGAATAATTTAATAAAGCTGTGGACCAGGGCCGCTATCAGAAAATTTGGGGCCCATGACAAAGCACAAGGTCTGGGCCCCCCCACCCTCCTCGCGGGCCCGCCCACGCCCTACCTAGTCTGCTCACAATGATGCAGGACTGAATGTGGTGTGTGTATAGTGGAAGTGAATTAGAATGTTTGTAATGGATGTAGTGTTTGTGTGTATTAGATACTATTTGTGCAATGAATGCAGAGTGTGTGTTTGTGTAGCGGATGCAGTGTGTATAGTGAACGCAGAGTGTTTTTGAGTAGTGGATGTAGTGTGTGTTTGTGTAGTGGATGTAGTGTTTGTATGTACTAGATGAAATGTGTTTAGTGGATGCAGTGTCTGTAGTGTGTGTATTAGACGCAGTGTCTGTGTATAGTGAATGCAGAGTGTTTCAATTTGTGGTGGATGTAGTGTGTGTACTGTGAATACAGGATGTTTGTGTAGTGGATGCTGTGTGTACAGTTAATGCAGAGTGTATGTTAGTGTAGTGAATGCAGAGTGTGTGTCAGTATAGTGAATCCAGAGTGTGTGCATAGTTTAGTGAATGCAGAGTGTGTGTTAGTGTGTAATGAATGCAGAGTGTATGTTAGTGTGTAGTGAATGCAGAGTGCGTCAGTGTAATGAATGTAGTGTGTGTGTTAGTGCAGTGAATGCATAGTGTGTGTAAATTTGTAGTGAATGCAGAGAGTGTGTTAGTATGTAGCGGATGCAGAGAGTGTGTTAGTATGTAGCGGATGCAGAGTGTGTGTTAGTGTAGTGAATGCAGTGTTAATGTGTAGTGAATGCAGAGAGTGTGTTAGTGTGTAGCGGATGCAGAGTGTGTGTTAGTGTAGCGGATGCAGAGTGTGTGTTAGTGTAGCGGATGCAGTGTGTGTGTTAGTGTAGCGGATGCAGTGTGTGTTGCGTTAGTGTATGCAGTGTGTGTGTTAGTGTATGCAGTGTGTGTGTGTTAGTGTATGCAGTGTGTTGTGTTAGTGTATGCAGTGTGTTGTGTTAGTGTATGCAGTGTGTGTGTGTTAGTGTATGCAGTGTGTGTGTTGTGTTAGTGTATGTGTTGTGTTAGTGTATGCAGTGTGTGTGTGTTGTGTTAGTGAATGCAGTGTATGTGTGTGTTATTGTATGCAGTGTGTGAGTTGTGTTATTGTATGCAGTGTGTGTGTTGTGTTATTGTATGCAGTGTGTGTTAGTGTATTCAGTGTGTGTGTTGTGTTAGTGAATGCAGTGTATGTGTGTGTTAGTGTATGCAGTGTGTGTTGTGTTAGTGTATGCAGTGTATGTGTGTGTTAGTGTATGTGTGTGTTATTGTATGCAGTGTGTGTGTTGTGTTAGTGTATGCAGTGTGTGTTAGTGTATGCAGTGTATGTGTGTGTTAGTGTATGCAGTGTGTGTGTTGTGTTATTGTATGCAGTGTATGTGTGTGTTAGTGTTTGCAGTGTGTGTGATAGTGTATGCAGTGTATTTGTTAGTGTATGCAGTGTATGTGTGTGTTAGTGTATGTAGTGTATGTGTGTGTTAGTGTATGCAGTGTATGTGTGTGTTATTGTATGCAGTGTGTGTGTTGTGTTAGTGTATGCAGTGTGTGTGTTAGTGTATGTAGTGTATGTGTGTGTTAGTGTATGCAGTGTATGTGTGTGTTAGTGTATGCAGTGTGTGTGTTGTGTTATTGTATGCAGTGTATGTGTGTGTTAGTGTATGCAGTGTGTGTGTTAGTGTATGCAGTGTATGTGTTAGTGTATGCAGTGTATGTGTGTGTTAGTGTATGTAGTGTATGTGTGTGTTAGTGTATGCAGTGTATGTGTGTGTTATTGTATGCAATGTGTGTGTTGTGTTAGTGTATGCAGTGTGTGTGTGTTAGTGTATGTAGTGTATGTGTGTGTTAGTGTATGTAGTGTATGTGTGTGTTAGTGTATGCAGTGTATGTGTGTGTTATTTTATGCAGTGTGTTTTGTTAGTGTGTGATCTGGGGTGAGGGGGAGGAAGGGGCATTTTAACATTAATTTTCTATTAATTTAATTAAATGTTTCTCCCCCCTCCCTGCTTACCTGTGTCCATGGAGGGGGGAGATTCCATCCCTGGTGGTCCGGTGGGGGGCCCCCCGGCTCCCTGTTACCGCAGAAGTGGGCCCAGGCAGCACACAGCTTCTCCTCCTCTCTTCTCATAACTCTCGCGAGACCCGGTTACCATGGCAACGCTCCGCGGGTCTCGCGAGAGTTATGAGAAGAGAGGAGGAGAAGCTGTGTGCTGCCTGGGCCCCCTTCTGCGGTAACAGGGAGCCGGGGGGCCCGCGGCTGCACACATAGATAGCGATATGCGCTATCTATGTGTGCAGAGAGGGAAAGTGGAGCCCAGGACTGCCAGAGCAGTCCGGGCCCCCCAGGGCCGCCGGGCCCGTGACAACAGTCACGGTTGTCACCCCCTGATGGCGGCCCTGCTGTGGACTAATTATTTCCAACAGTATAACCTGTGTCCGTGTTTTAATTGGGGTTTGGGTAAGGTTAGCGCATATGCCGGCAAATCCGACTGTGCGCCTGTCATGTAAAGGAAGATCATTAGGTGGGACCTGCTGGCACAGAGTGATAATAGTTCAGAATTATAACATAAACAAACTAAGTGCAACAATCTCAGCATACTAATTACAGAAACAAATAAGAGCAAATATAGTGGAATGCAACACTGACCTAACCAGTTAATAAAAATTCTGACCTAGTTAAATGTCACTTACAGGTCTGCAGCGTGAATTGTCAGCAATTCAAAGTAAATTTAAAATTATAACCAAGAATTGCAGAACCGAAACTGATTTGGAGAAATTTTCTAATTTAGTTATTGAAATTATTGAAATTCACATTTAATACTCTTAATGCAGTCTGAATTCCCACCAACCTACCTGAGGTTATTCACCAAAGGACGAATGGCCCCCTTAATTAATGGGGCAATATCATCTGGCTGCATACGGGGTCATTTTGACTGCAAGATCTGGACATTATTCACACTTTTTAACAATGTATGGATTTTGCAATACAAGCCCCAAACGGGCCTGAATTTAATTCTGGTTTCAGCCGGATCGAATGCCGCCAAACAGCTGAAATCTGGACAAAATGCTTAAAATCTGGGTTCAGATTTAAACAGTTAAAAAGCTTTGGCAGTGCCAGGGTTAATTATATGGCAACTAGCCAGCACTTGCTAGTCAGCCACCACATGAAATAATTATAATAAATAATTAAAAAGCCTATTGCAGTCAATAAGACCCCGATATTACTATAAAGCAGGTTTAAAATCTGTCTATGCCTCCATCTGCCATGCTTATATGCTAAACATTTAGACTTAGCGACTGGGTACCCATTGCTGCACGTGCTAGAAAAGGCCATAATCCATGTTAGGTAGGTATGCCCCCACCTGCTACATTATTATTATTTCCTTTTTTTAAAGTGGCATAATTTGCAAAAGACCTCCAATGGTGACTTTGCCACTGGGGGTCCAGTAGCCAGGGAAAGGCAGGCAAAGGCGGCGCCGCCGCCATCTTCTTCTGGATGGTCCTCTTCTGCTCCTGGCACTTCAGTGCCAGAAGCCGACTTCAATGCTTTACAGCATTGAGGTCTATGGAGGGTCCAGTCTCTACTTTGTCTTAGTACATCTTTTGACTGGGTTGGAATTTCACTGAAACAAAGACAATACCAGAATTTCACTTTTTTTTTTAACGACATGACACTTTTTATCGATATAGACACTTTGCAGGGGGGAAAGGGGTGGCAGTGCTGCTTTAATGTGGCAAGCAGCCTCCACATAATTAACCCTTGAAATGCTAAATGTTGTTTAACCATTTTCTTGCTAGCTGCTTGCACGGCCAGCGGCAAATTATACTTAAAATTGCATTCTAGCAAGTGAACGGAACACTGCAAATGTGCATTCTGCTAGATAATAATTGCCATTGTGGTTAAAATTTGGACATTTTCACTGGATGTTGTCCATCTGGATAAAGGTTATTTAGTCAATAACCTTGACAGTGAATAACCCTGCAAGAATATTAGATAATAACACTGACATTACACTTGTAGCTGAGAATGCACATTGAAAATGTGGTCTCCTAAACAATTATAACATCATTAGATTATCCTTTTAGGGTGTTTAAGAGTTAAAGGGACACATCAAAACAACTATAGCTTAATGAAGCAGTTTTTGTGTATAGCTCATGCCTCTTGAACACGCCGAAACGCGCGTTGAGCGTTTTCTTTCTCTTTAATCACTGCACTTAGTAGCATTTTTTTTTTAAATATGATTTTTATTAATGTATTTGCAACGTATTTTCAACAAAAATAGGCAAGGGGTGGGGGGATGGGACTCGCAGGTCCCTGGAAACAACAACATAAAGTATTTGCTTTTGGGCTCGCAGGCCCCAATGAACGATGCGGACTCGCAGGTCCCACGCATTCCAAACAGCTAATAATGAGTACCTTTGTCCCATGTGTTGCACTCTTTTTCTTTTTTTTTTTTTTTTCTTTTTTTTATTTATATTGATAATTTGTTACAGTTTTTATTGCATAACATGTGAATAGATTGGTGGGAACTCGTAGGTTTTCGACCTGCTTTACATTATTAGGTCTTGTGAGGTGCCTAGATTCTCATGAGCAAGGCATAAAATAAGATACGAAGGTCCCTAGGTATCCTAGTCAGATGGCTCATAACTTGAAAACGTAAACTATCAAAAGAAAACTAGTATCGAGTGGACAGATAGAGGAGCACAAAACATTGTGTTCCGATAAAGTAATGTCAGTTTGTCGTGTAACATGTCTGAGTTGCGGGATTACGGCCGTCAGGCGGTCCCTAATTCTGTCTGCAGTCGCTTGCCGGAGTTCAGGTGGTGAGTGTAGTAGCGTGTGGGTACCCTAAGCCGTTAGATGTCGGCGTGTGTGTGTGTGTCCGTGTGGTTGGGGGAGGACCGTGTCCCTTCGTTTGTGGGGTGTATTGACTTAGCTTCCCTGTGTGGTTATCGGGTAACATGTGAGGGTAACGTTCTGCTTTGACCCTGGCAGTTTCTTTGATGTGGCATGTCATGTGTGGTGAAGCTACTAGAGTCAGGGTAAGTATATCTTCTTGTGTGTGTTCCCCTTGTCCAGGCTGTTGGCACACCGTGACCCGGTCGTTGGGGTCTTTTTTTTAACCTTAGGGTATGGTACGTGCGCCGCGTTGTCACCCATGAACGTCTGTTTGTTTTAGTATGTTCTAGAGGTGGCTTGTGTGTATATTCATGTTGATCGATTCCCTTAATCCTCCCCAAGTGGTCGGGTCCTGTATGCCGGTTAGTGGGCTTGGTCCCCTGTGTCTGGTCGGTCATGTGGTGGTTTTCCTTGTGGGTGTTCCGTCTTGTGGCAGGCGTGCGCGGCCCCTACCTCACCCCTGCCCCCGCTCCGCCGGCGTGGCCGCCCGCACCCCCGGTCTCCCGTCTCTCGGCAACATGCCCCACCCACGGCCCCCATCGTTCCACGTATTTTTCACTTTGTCCCATGAGAGACGCCCTCATCTTTTCTGCGGAGCGGATCTCCTCAACTCTGTCGTACCATTGGGTTAGCGTTGGTGGCTGTGTCTGTTTCCACATCGCGGGTATGAGTGCTTTAGCTGCATCCAGCATATGTCGCAATATGGATTTTTTGTATTGTGAGATTGGTTGTGGGGTCGAGTGTAGTAAGTATTGTTCCATGTTGAGGGGGAACGGTTCTCGGAGGATCTCAGTGATTTTTGTGCTGATTTGGGACCAGAACGGCTGTATGATTGAGCAGTTCCACCAAATGTGGCTGAGGGTACCTTCCTCCTCTCCACACCTCCAGCATATGGATGGGACATTGGGAAATATCTTATGAAGACGTGTTGGGGTTTTGTACCATTGTGATAAGAGTTTGTAAGCATTTTTTTATTTTTGTTACCACTATGGTTATTGATTTTAAGGTGTTTATTTCTTTATAACTTTAGTAGGGAGAGTTGGTTCAGGTAGACACTAGTGGTCAGACCACAGTGTCGAGGTAACTCTTAGGGTGAATTGGGAGATGTTTTATTCCTTGAGGCTTTTCATCTGCGTTTAGATTACCTGGTCCCTAGTTCTCTGTGGACCCTATTCTCTCTCCCTAACCTCGTTTACACTACCTTCCCGTCAGTCGGACACTAGGGGAACTGGTACTTAGATGTTATTTAGTACTCCAGATAATGGTTCCCCTGGGCACTGTTTAGTAGATCTCCCTTTTATCAAGTTATACTTTTTGTTTGCATATCCCTTTTTATCCTTAGATTGATTAAAAGTAGGGCCTCCCTTCCTCATTTTTTATACAGTGGAGCTCTCTAGATGTTAGTTTCCCCTTGTGGGACTCTATACATCACTTTCTCCAATTTCCCGCATATTTTGGAGGGTTACCCCATTATAGGAGCTCCCTATTAAGTGATTACAGTGGTGCAGCTCACGAGCCCTTGACTTGTATCCGGACTCCTGACCTGCACTCTGTTTACTTTATTTGTTAATTTTCTCTTAATTCTCACTGCCCAATTTTCTGCCATTTAGGAGTTAAATTACTTTTGTTTATTTTAATGCAGTCTTATCCACACCTCCCCTTACTGTGACTAGCACAGCCTGCATGAAAGAAAAATGGTTTTATTTTCAATCAGATGTAACTTACTTCTTACTTCTTTATCTTCTGCTCTGTAGTTTTAACTTTAATTACACACAGGAGGCTCCTGCAGGGTCTAACAAGCTATTAACAGAGCAGGAGATAGGAAATTCTAAATAAAACAGAATTTGCAATAAAGGTATTACAAACATTAGATGACTCTTTACAGGATATGTTTAGGAAGGTTGTATAAGTCATGTGCAGGGAGGTGTGCCTAGGGCTACATAAACAAAGTAATTTAACTCCTAAATGGCAGAAAATTGAGCAGTGAGACTATACAACAAAACTGCTTAATTAAGCTAAAGTTGTTTTGGTGACTATAATGTCCCTTTACATCAGGTTAAACTAGTCTTGCCTGGCGCTCACTGGAGACAAGCAACAATCCAATGAAAACAGTTAAATATACATTTTGTACACTATGTGTTTTGTGAGATGTTACATAACAGGCTCTTAATTTGTTCCTGATGATTTTAACAAAGCCACTCTACACACAAGTTACCATTTAAATAAATAATTTTAATACTTTCAATTAAAAATAGGTAGGAAGAATGTTTGCTTACTATTGCGACAATAAAGGAGTTTAAATAAATCCCCTTGCAAAGATTACAATCATTAATGGACATGATTTATTTAACCCCCCCCCCCCACAAATTTTGCAGCGCTGCACAATGGGTGGACTAACAAACATGTAAATGTAACCAGACGAGTTGGACGCACAGGAACAGAGAGGTTGAGGACTCTGCTCACATTCTAGAGGGAGCTAAGTAAAGTGAAAAGAAAGGTAAGGGTAGGGGTAGAAAAGTAGATTGGTAGAATAGTATTCACTGAAGACTTTGTGTGTTTTTTAAGGACACTTGCAGGAGAGGAATCAGAGTGCGGGGGTAGGGCAGGGGAAGCTATTAACAGTTTAATTGATCCGCTTTTGTGAGTTATTCATTATTTTTTGAAGGAGTGGAGACCGGCTGAGGGTCTAACAGAGAAGGGAAGAGAGTTCCACAGGAATGGTGAAGCCTTGGAGAAGTCTTGAAGATGAGCATGGGAGTATGAGCAAAGGATAGACGTATAGACGTAGGTGTTAGGCAGAGCGCAGGGGCCTAGAATACTTGTGTATTAGGGAGGATAGATAGGTTGGAGCAGCATTATGTAGAGATTTGTAAGCAAGAACCAGAATTTTAAATATATTTTAAGTACATCACTACTTGTGTATGTGGATTGATGTCAAAATTATTCTTGCCATACTTGCATAGCTTTGCAGAGTAGGCTACGGTATACAAACTAGCTAAGCCGCACACCTTCTCTATACATAAGTGACGTTACTGTGTAAAGTAAGATACAATTTCATGATTCATGTGCACACGAAAGGTGTTTAGTCCACTACGCACCACACACAGCTATTTTGAGGTACATCATGTAATTTATTTACTTTTTATTCACATTATCACATCATTATCTTTACACAGCTAATACATGAATTTAATGAAATCAACTGAATTTTAATATTAGTAATATAGCAATTTCACTGAAGCATTACTTCAGTGACGGACATTATCTGATTTGTATTTGTATTCATTCTGTTGATAACCGGCCTCATAAATGGTCAAAAACAGAATGAATACAAATACTGTCAGATAATGTTTGTCATCAATTCTTTAAGACATCAAAGAGATTTGTTATTTGCTCGGAGCTTTGATTAATTTGTTTTTATGCCATTATCTACATTGTAGTATTACATTTCTACCACTAGTGGGAGATACAAGTCCATTTTACAAAGGCATGGGCCATTCTAAACATTACAGCATTACCATTTCTGTATTTACATTTTTAATAGAAAGAAAATGTGAATGGCACAAGAAAACACAGGAAAGTGTCTTAAGAAATGATCAGAGAGGCGTCTGCAGACAATGCAATAGTTTCAACATGAATCATGAAATTTAGTGACTGGGCAATTCCTTATGAAATGCTATTGGGAAAAAAAGGGACAAATTATTTTTTTTCAATTTCTATCAAATTCTGTTGTTCACAAGCCTTATTGGAGACTTGGACCTATTTAAAACTAGCCAGCTCAACATGCATTGGAAGCAGCACAATGGAATAAGTGGAAGATTATGGGTCACATCACATGCCACTTCTCACTGTGTATTTTGGAAAATAATTGATCACACCATACCCCTACAACCATGTAAAGCAATATGGGATTTATTCACTAAACAGTGAACTTTATAGTAATATAGTAAAATATAGAGGAATTATACAGCACTGCGGAATTTGTTGGTGCTTTATAAATAATAATAATAATAATTGTAGAATTCTCCAAATTCATCTATTTTGGAGTTAATTTTGTAAATTAAAATTTCCGTTGACCACAATTTACCTTTTTACATTTTTTTTTTTATAGTTTTATTATAGTATTTTATTTGAAGGGCTCAGTTCTTCGATATATTTGTGTTTCAATGCAACAGTAATCATTGGGAACTTCAAGAGTTTAACCCTCGGGGGATTTTACCCCAGTCCCAGGTTGAGTGATAAAATTCCCAGGGGAACATACAGACTTGCAATCTTACCGCATCTCTTATACTGATATTACGATACTCTCACCTTACAACTACGTTTTTTGTGTGTGTTTTTTTTAATGCAGGATAGTTAATATCTCAAGTTAACCACAAATGACTCAATTCGAAACATCTAAACATTTTAGAATATTTGGGTTTCATGAGAACTAACCTAGACCACTGGGTTAACACATACGCTGATTAATTACGTAAACTCTCTCGCAATGGGTTGTCTACTTTTTTAAAGGAATTTCTATGCAATGCCATGGTGTTATACAAAATTTAAAACCAAGTTCATAAATTAGCCTTTACCTTTATTTTTTTTTTACTGTTGAATTGCTACCAAAGAACAAACAGTATGGGTATAATGGATATCTTCAGAATAATATTTGTCCTCTGTTTATTTAGAACTTAATTTACTGCAGAGCTTTTAGATCCATCTAGGAAAAGGATTGTTTCACAACTAGTGATATGCTGTATATCACCACCGAGTACTTGTCAGTGGTGGGTGCAGGGTGTAAGTATTTGTCATCATATATATGTTTGTAAAAGTGTATATATGTGTGGATTTATGTGTCCCTTTTTTAACATATGCCTCAGAATCCAGCAGTGCAACTCCCTTGCTTCACCCATCATATTTGAGTTGCCACTTTTAGTTCTTAAAAAGACATTATAGTCACCAGAACCACTACAGATTAATGAAGAGGTTCTGCTGTCTATAGCCTGTCCTTGCAGGCTTTTCACTGTAAACACTTTTTTTTCAGGGAACACACAGTGTTCACTAGTAACACCACTACTGACAGTGCCACAGACAAAAGCTGCAAAGCGTGAAGCACCTACGTTAAGAGTTTCCATGCTGAACATTTTCCGTAGAGATGCATTGATTCAAAGCATATCTATTAGGAGAAGCTGATTGGCACAGTGTGGCGTTTTCCCACACAACAGCCTCCCAATGCTTTCCTACAGGAAAGAATTGGATTGGCTGAGATCAAAACTGATGGGCTTAGCCACAGAGGCGATGCTCAACCGCTGTGAGACAAGTGCAGCAAAGGAGAAAAGGTAAGTAAATAACCTTTTCAATGCAATCTGAGGGGGAGCTGGTCAGCTAAACAGTTAGCATAACACTATAGGGCTATACATGTTTGCATTCCTGACATTATATTGTTCTTTTAAATGACAAAACAATAATTTTGTCCTCTTTTTCAGTTGCTTTTTTTTATATATATTTCAATTGTGCCATATTGATCAACTATGGAAAGAAGGCCATTTTGCGTGAATTAATTCTAATAATTTGTCTTCGGGTTGAGTGTATTATCACCCTAGTTTTTTTTGACAGATGTAAGATTAATCATTCTGCAGAGTACTATCAGTCGGCAATGAGGGCTGAACTTGCATGTCTGCCGTTCATACCGGCTGTGTGAATACTGTGCACTATGACCCCATTCACACAGCTATTCCTGCTAGACTTTGTACTTATCTACTAGTAGGACTCGGTCGTTCCCTATCAGCAATCAAGCACCCAAATAAAAACCACTACACGTTACACGTGACTGATAACCTAAGGCAGTAGGCACTGTGATGTGGAAACTTCATAAAATCCAAAGGTCATTCGGAGTATTTTTGGCAGCAAGAGTTTTCCTTGTTTCCTCATTCTCTGGCCAGCAAACATTAGGAGCGGCATGAAGCAATAATACAAAAGTGATATTATTTTTGACATTGCTACCTTGTGCAGAAAAGTAACCAGACATCCTGCATTAAAAATTGAATTGCCACATGCTGAAATGTACCATTTTGAATACAGAAAATCAGCTTTGAAAATTCTATGAATTAAAGGACCACTATAGTGCCAGGAAAACAAACTCATTTGAGCTGAAGTGGTCTGGGTGACTATAGTGGTCCTTTAAGTAAATCCAAAATAGCACAGTAAAGGGACACTATAGGCACTAGAATAATTACAACTTAAAGGAACACTAAAGCGTTGTGTATACAAGCCAATATTCTTAACGCTTTAGTCCCTACTAAAATACTCAACCTCTCGATTTGTGATAAAATTAAGAAACTTGTTACTCATCTTTTTCTCAACCTCTCGATTTGTGATAAAATTGTGATAAAATACTCAACCTCTCGATTTGTGATAAAATTAAGAAACTTGTTACTCATCTTTTTCTCAACCTCTCGATTTGTGATAAAATTGTGATAAAATACTCAACCTCTCGATTTGTGATAAAATTAAGAAACTTGTTACTCATCTTTTTCTCAACCTCTCGATTTGTGATAAAATTGTGATAAAATACTCAACCTCTCGATTTGTGATAAAATTAAGAAACTTGTTACTCATCTTTTTCCAGTGCTGATGGTCTCTCTTAGGCTCTCTCAGAGCTGCTTGCTTCTCCTCCTCCTGTGATATCACAGACGAGGCAAGGCCTCCTCCACATTGACCAATCCATTGCTCCTCACAGAGAAGCACTGGGGACCTGATATGTTGCGAGCGGTGCATGCACATTTAAGCTTCTCCAGAGAAAAGCATTGAATCAACTCTTTCCTGATTCTGTGTCGCATGATGGGGAAACGCCTCTAGTGGCAACCACAAGAGGTGGACCCAACACTGCAATATAAACAATATCGTTTCCAAAAACCTGTTTCCCATAGCACTGTTAAAGCTAAAGGACCACTGCCCCCAGACCACTGTATTGAGATGAAATAGTTTCTAGGCCATAGAAACTATCCCTGTATGCCTGCAAATTTTGATGCCTCGGACACAGCTCAAGGTGGTGCCCATAGGGCCCAACCTTAAACCTGCCCACAGGGCCCGCTCACAAGGATGCAGTCTATGTTTTTGTGTAGTGGAAGCAGTGTATGTAAAGTGGATGTGGTGTGTGTGTAGTGTGTATAGTGGATGCATTGTATGTAGTAGATGGAGAGTGTGTATGTTGTAGATGCAGATTGTATGTGTAGCAGCCTAATCAGCGCCACGACCAGAGTAGAGAAGAGGTGAGTAAGAAAAAAAATTTTTTCCCCGTGGGGGGTGCCTGATAATTAATGTTAGTATTCCTAACGCTATAGTGTTCCTCTGAACGGTCCCTGTACGTACTATAAGGACTTATTGCATTATTGCAAAATTGGTGGTGGAGCTAGTACCCAGTGTTAACTCTCATAAGTGAGAATGGATTTTAACTATGGCAACTTATAGAAAGAAATATAAGAAATATAAGACAACAAATATAAGACGGTGTTAATCAGGTATACTGGTACTGTTGTTGATTTTGTCGAAGCTGCACATGTGGCGTGTGCACATCACATGCAAGCCTGGACTGAAATCTCAGTCCTCAATAGAGAGAGACAATGCGCTTGCTTTGTATGCACAATCCATGGTTTTGCCAATCACTGCCCACAGTCCAGATCACTGATCAATGAAACAAGCTGTATGTAACTGATAGCGGCCACTGTATGACTGCTTGTTCCTGTGTTTAAGTAAATCATTTGTCAAGTGGATCACACAAAATAAAGTCACTGTGGAAATGTTATTGATAAATCATTTTGAAAGTTTTTCTAACAATATTAAATAATTTAATATTTAATATATTTAATATATAAAGACAAACTAGGCAACAATATGCAATGTGAATCAGCAGTTGCTAAGGCAGTTGCTAAGGGCATTAAAGGGATCCTATAGTGCCAGAAAAACAAAGCTGTTTTCCTGGCACTATAGGTTTAAAAGGTGCCCCAATCCCTCGGGCTCACCCCCCAGCGGGACTGGAGAGGATAAAACAACTTCAGCCACTTACTTGAATCCAGCGCCGATGTCCCTCGGTGCTGGGTCAGGCTCCGCCCACACATTAATGTTGGCGGGGGAGACCTAATATGCACATGCGTGGCAATGGCCGCGCTCGCATTAGCATGAGGATGTCCAGCCCCAGATAATGGACCAAAGGTATGTTTAGATTCTGGAAGCGCCACCAGTGGCTGTCAGTAGACAGCCACTGAGGGCAGGCTTAGAGCTGCAATGTAAACATTGCAGTTCTCTGGAACTGCAATGTTTTACATTGCAGCACTAAGTGCAATAGAGGATCCATTGCAGGGTCAAACTGACATGGCTAAAATGGTCTGGGTACCTACAATGTCCCTTTCTTTATAAATCACTGGTAAGACCACCAGCTTGACAAAGACTCAACTGTGGGTCAGAAAGTTGCGTTCCTTTGGTTTCAATAAGTTTGCCTTGAAGCACTGGAGGCTGAGACCACTTTAGACCTGGTGGAAAGGGGCTGTAGATGGGGACACAGTGGCTCTAGAAGGGGGTCAGGGGCTGTGGTGGGGGATAGGGGATGTACAAGAGTAGACAAGGTTTATGGGGGGGGCAGAGGCTGCAAAGGGGATACACACAGGGGCTGTAGAGGGGGGATGCACAGGGGCTGTAGACAGGGACAAGACACGGGGGCTATAGAGGGGCAGCACACTGGGGAGTCTGGGAGAAGAGCAGTGGAAGTCACGCCCCCTCCGCCTGACATCATCGGGAGAGGCCGGCCAACTTCCCTGGCTGCTCTGTGCTGGCTGCAATGAGACAGGTGAGTTGAAAAATCAGAGTCTCTAGCCAGAGGCAGGGGATTCTGATTTTTGCACCCCCCTGCTCTGGCGCCCTAAGGCGGCTGCTTGTGCCACGTTATGGATGCGCCGGCCCTAATTGGAGGGCATGCACCACCTTATTTAAAGTGGCAACTATATTCGAATGGGCAGATGCTGGCACATGGTCTAGTTAGGCACCCAAATGCCTTGTGGATTCAGTGCAGTACTGTCTAATTGTGGTAAGACCACATCTTGAATATGCTGTGCAATTTTGGGCACCTGTTCTAAAGAATGATATTATGGCACTAGAAAAAGTGCAGAGGCAGGCTACAAAATTGATAAAAAAGAATGGAGCATTTAAGTTATGAAGAGACGTTAACAAATGTAAATCTCTTTAGTTTGGAAAAACAGTGCTCCAGAGGGGATATAAGAGCATTATACAAATATATTTGGTGTCAATACAAACCATTGTATGGAAATCTATTTATTAAAATAACCAAAAATAGGACACAAGGTCATGCATTTAGACTGGAAGAAAATACATTTAGTCTAAGGAAAGGGTTTTCATAGTTAGAACTATAAGGATATGGAATTCTCTGCCCGAAGAGGTGGTTTTATCAGGGGTTTATAGTTTAAGCAGCTATCGGATAAATACTTGCAAAATGAATTAGTAGGTTAATAGCTTCTTGAGCCAAGGAGATATCTGAATGCCAATCTGGAGTCAAGAAGGAATATTGTTTCTAGTTTGTTGCAAAATTGGAAGCGCTTCAAACTGGGTTTTTTGTCTTCTTTTGGATTAACAGCAAAAATCAAAAGGCTTAACTTGATGGACACATGTCTCTTTTCAGCTATGTAACTATGTAACTTATTAAATTGATGCCTACATCTGAATGGAAAGATTGAGGATAAAATGGGCAAACTGTTACTATAATTGAGTTAGATTTAATTTGCTCAAATTTGGAGTTTTGAGGGGGTAACAAAAACTACACTTGTACCATTCATTCTATCTAACAATGCATCATTGTATTTAACGTGAGCTTAGAAATGATATTAAAGCAGCACTGTCAACGACTGGGGACTTTGCAAAATTCGCAGACACCCAACTGTGACACGCAGGTAAAGGTGAGATTAATTTACCTGAATCTATCCCTCACGGGCATGGCTATCTTTCAGGGTCCTCTTCAGAAGCACCAGGAGCCAATGCCAGTACAAAACTATCACACATGAGCCAGGTGCAAAGGACAGGAGTTTATAACAATGACTGACAGGGAGCTAAAATGGACAGGTTCCCATTTGCAGGATAAAGAGCTGTGGATTTCCGATTTTAATTTCTTTCTTCACTTCTCACATTTGTTAAACATAGGAATAAACGTAATATTAATGGGACATTATAGTCCCTAGAACTACTACTGCTTAAACACAGAGAAAAGGCAGTGTTTACATTGCTGCTTAGTAACACCTGTAGACGGCCACTAGAGGTGCTTCCTGAGCATGGAGGCATTGAACATTCCCAATAGAGATGCATTGATTTAATGCATTTCTATGAGGAGATGTTGATTAACCAAGCAGGGAAGCATTGGATTGGCTAAGTAATCAAAAATTGATGATCTCAGTCATGGAGGTGGAGCCAGGTGGAGCCATCCGAGGGGGACCAGTGCATGGTGAAAAAGATGAGTAGAATAACCTTTTCACTGCACAGAAGGGGAGTGGGGAAGGGTATAGCTGTGGTGGGGTGGGGGAGGGGACACACACACACACACACACCTAAATAGCCACACCAGCACTATAGTGTCAGGTATACAAGTTTGAAATAAATAGTGTTCCTTTGAAAATTATGGAAAGTGTCAATGTGGAGACTTAGCAAAATGGTAAATGGATGTAATTTATCCCATTTTGTTGTTTAAGTCTTCACCATCATCTACTTGGATCACAATGGTTGTTAAAATCCTAACACTACTTAAAAGAAGAGAAAGTGAGTCAGCTGATAAGTTTAAAGGTTTAAAAATAACACAAGGAAGTATTACTTTACTGAGAGGGTAGTGGATACATGGAATAGCCTTCCAGCTAAAGTGGTAGAGGTTAACATAGTGAAGGAGTTTAAGCATGCGTGGGTGGGATAGGCATAAGGCTATCCTAGCTATAGGATAAGGCTATGGACCTAATTAGAGTATTTAGAAAATTGGGCAGACTAGATGGGCCAAATGTTTCTTATCCACCATCACATTCTATGTTTCTATGACAGCTATATTACTATATACATTTTTTTTTTTTGTTTTTTGCTAAAAAAAATCTTATTTAATAAAAGACTACAGTAAGGAATTGACAGTAGAATTTTCTCCTTGAAATAATTGACATTTTTTGAACTGAACCCAAAAGAATAGCATGGAAATAGAAGCATTAATAGATTGGCGACTTGGACTGTTAATAAATAAATAAATAAATAAATGATACATAAAACCTTACGTGAGCCAAATCTCTTCTAGCAGCCCAAGTAATTAGAGTCTGAACATTTGTAGTCCTCTGTTTGTTCACTTGAGTTTTAGCCTGGCAGCTTTCCTTTATGGGGGTGGAAGTGATAATTATGCTTTTGGCTGTCTAGGATTTCTGCATTTTAATAACTAAAAAAAATGTTACTGGAAAACAGCTCGTACCAATATGAGAATTATATCAATACTAACCAAAAACTAACATGGGACAGCAGGACAGAACTTAGACACTAGACAGATCCAACAAACACCAGATAGTTAGGGGTTATAGAATAAGAGACTTATGATTGGTGGAGCATCTTCCTATTCTCTGAGAAGGCAGCCTGATGCTGCAGTTAGCTTATCGATTAGCAGCGGCAGAAACTTAAGGTATCTTTTTTAATTTATATTAATAATACTTTAAAGGGACATTTTAGGCACCCAGGCCACTTCATCTTATTGATGAAACTGAGAAATTGTAATGTTTATATTAAGGCAGGGTTAAGACAGTGTTCCAGTAGAGGTGCTTCCTGGCCTTTCACGGAGTTTAATTCCATGAAATGACACTGAGTGTCCTCACTCTTTGCATGAGGACGTCCAGCATCTTCAAATCCCCATAAGAGAGCTCCCAGCATTGCCAACACTGGAGGAGGTGGAGCCAGCGCGGATGGAATTTGATATTTAGCATCAACCAAATCGCAACTGAAGATAGACCCACTGCATCCGATGCACATTAGGAAAATATCATTCACTGTCTTTTTTTAAGTGAATGATAATTTAAGTACTATTAAGTACTATTTGCCCAATGACAGCAAAAGCACATATCTCTCAACTCCAGTGCCATGAGAATCTTGACGTCTGTGAGAGGGAGATAAAGAAGGTGGGCCACTAACACAATAATGTAACTAACTCAGATGACTGGACATTCCTTTTCCTAGGAGGAAGTACCTATCCATCACTCAGGTCATTCCACTGAGGACAGTACATGCAGGGATCTCTGTTTCTAGAGAGCGAGAGCGTATCTAATGCTAGGATTGTTGGGGACAGTTCTCTGGTGTCCCCAAAAGTAGGACACCAGTGAACTATGGTAAGACAGTGGGGCAGGACCTGAAAATCAGCACCGTTCCATAGAAATCTGGACATTTGGATGACATGCTAGCAGCCAATGGGCAATGTAAGGGTAAATTATGAGATTGCTGACAAACACTTGCAAGACAGCCAACACACAATTTTTAAAAATAAATTAATATGAAAAAAAGCTTACAGGGGCTTTAAACCTCCACATGCCAAAAAACCTGGCATGGAAGCTGAGAGCCCTGCCAGCGGGAAAATAGTTAATAGTTAACATTGATTTTAAAGTCCAGCCCGGATTTGCAGCATTCTGTCCGGGTTTCAATATCCGCAAATTGTTGAATTCCGTCAACAATGACCAGATTTTGGAGTCTGAATGGCCCTCGGACTTTGGCTAATTGGTCAAAATGGGACCCTGCTAGAATTTAAATTGAAATACACATTGAATTCTCATTCAGTATTCTTTAGTAAATAACCCAGTTAGACTATGACAGGTCTGGTGCTGAAAGGGAGGTGTATATGGGCACCCTATGAGCTACACCAGTAAAGTTGCTGTTGATTTTCTAATGGGGATTGCATGAATTAAAATGTTTCCACTTTATAGTGCAACTGGCATATCAGGTTTTTTTAATGTCGCATTAACATGGTGGTGCATGGACTCAAAACAGATCTGCTGTTAAGTTGACCAAAATGCTGAGACTCAGACATACACAGTTGAAATTTTAAGCAACTTCGATTAGGGCTATATATGAGGTCAGATGCATAAGAGGCTTTTCAGTGACTGATTAGAAAATCATTGTTAAAACGTTTACTTATTGATGGGTATATTTTCAAATAAATGCATTTATTTGTGCGGTTTGTAGGTTTTTTTAAGTTCCTTTTGGCACTATTCCAAAAATGTTAAATGTAAATGATAGACTTTGTTTCCTCAAATATTTTGGTCAGGATGAAGGACAGTAAATTCTGCACAGGGGTCAACAAGACTGATCAACATGTGTTTATAAATGTGCATATAGTACTTATCTGTATTACCTCTGGCCCCCTGTCCTGCACAGGGCATGACTCGCTGTCTGCTTCAGAGAATGAGCCAGACTCATCACTAGAGTTTGTTCCATATGACTGCTCACATTTAATCTGCGGCCTGCCTTGGTTATAGATGGAGTCTGCTATCGAACAGGCTTCTTGATGATCAGTGGGTGGGAATCTTGGACCCTGTGAACAGGGAGATGATGAAAACTCACAGAGGGGAAGGCTACAGGGAGAACCACCGCTGCCATCTTCTGCATAAGAGTAAGAGGAGCATGAGCTAGATGTTCGTGTTCTGGTTTCCAAAGGTGGAGAACGGGGGCAAACCTTAATTGGCACAGGGCAGCTAGTGTTAGTCCGGAGCCTCCCTGGCAAGGGGTCTGTTACAAGTCCACTGTGGGAAAAGGTATGTGAGCTTGGAAGAGATTGGCTAGCTCCTGCCCACAAACCCTTTGGCACATGCTCAGAAAACTCTTTGTCCAAGCAGTTGACACCAGAATACGACTGCACCGGAGTGCTAATTTGGTCACAAGCACTTGAAGAGAATATGACACTTCGCCTGTCCAGTTCCATCTCATGTTTAGAGGTGAGTTCTGACCCAGATCCCCGAAGAGGGGATGCCATAGGGAAACTAGAGGAATCTTTATGAGATTCACAGGGTAGTTCATAATTCCCAGTGAAAGGGCTGTAATCAGGTTTATGGTCACCCTGAGTTGCTCCCTTTTCCACAGGGCATGAGGGACTTCTGACAAACTGATGTTGGGAAGTGACAGGCAAGTCAACCAGCTCTCCCCCTTTTGTTCTGTTGAAAAAAGTTCTTAAACTTGAAGGGGACGAAACACTTTTTGGGTTATCAAAATTAATTGGGCTGGGTTCTTTCCTGACCATATCAACATCCCCTTTTTTATCCCTGATGTCTCCTTCATCTCCAGACAAGCAAAGGGTTACACTTTCTTCATCATTATCCTCATCCCGAGGCTCACTCTTGATCTGATTTAAGGGGAACCCTGAATTCAGGCCAGTTTCCAAACTCTGCTCGTTGAATGTGCTTTTGAAACCTGAGGTACTGGGTGACGTATTGTAGACATTCTTGGTACAAGCCAGCTGGTACTTCTTATACTTTGGGTAGCGGATCACAGGATCCTTGTCTAAACTCTCTTTGTCGTTCCTCTGCATATCAGAATTAGTCAAAATAACTTCATTTCGGTCTGCCACCAGCTCGCTTGAGCCAAAGCTAAAGGGTTCCTGGTGCATTCGTTCTTTTGAGCAGGATGTTTTGGAAGTGTCAGAATCCATTGTTTCCTCTTCACAATCGAAAGTCTCGTTACGCATTCGCTGGCACAAAGTATCTTTCTTGCACAAAAATAAGCCATCTTCACTGTTGTTGAGTAGCTGTGTCTGAAGAAAACTGAAGCATGAGTCTTCCAAGTTGTGCATGCGAAGGAATTCAGCACAGTGAATTACCTCTTGGATGTTTTCTCTACTCAGTAACAGCTTAGCGGTGTAGGCAAACTGCAGCAATGGACCAAACCCTCTGGCCGTGACCTGCAAAAATAGATAAATAAATATATAAATTAAAAACAACATACTAGTCAATGACATATCCTGAGTCTCTCAAGTGTAGTTAGCGAACCTGACAGCTACAGTGTCCATACATAAACATAGTAAAGAACCAGTTAATATTCCATGAGGTCTGCAGTGATTCTGCTTTCAATAATTAATGCTGCCTGCTTCTACACATGACGCCAAAGATTGGACAATGAGAACACTGGAAGAACGATTCTGAATCAGAAGCCATGCCGAGTGATACAATAGAAATGGAGACTTTCATCTATAAATGTCGATTAGCTGCTTAAAGGACTAAGTGGGATTCCACAGATGGAATTTTAACACTGTATATCATGAAGAACAAGAAGGCAATATAGGTCTACTTGCCAAAATGTTTTTTTTACAGCTGTGTCCTAACATTTGGCATAGCATGAGCGATAGAATCCTGACAATGATCAGTATCTTTTAGCTGACAAATGAACGATTGGTCGGGAAAATACACACATAAGAAAGGTTTACATTGTAAATTACAGATACGAGCAAATATGCAGATAGGGTATGATAGGAAACTTTATAAATTAGTTCTGTATTTGAATTATGAGTAATCCAGGTGCAGAGTTGTATTGTGATTATCACACAGATTTTTAAAAATATAATTTATAATAATAAAAGTGAAATAAGGTCATTCTAATATTTCAGCACATATATTTCATAAAAAAGTGGCTGGTCGGTTTGGCTACCAGGTTGCTCAGTACATTATGGAAAGCCAAATTTTCCTGTCATTTGACCAATGTTTTACAATGAGTGTACAGCAAAGTCAAAGCCTAAATTCAGAAGGCCATATACTCAAATTCTATCACTCTCCATAATACAAACTCATACACAAACCTCCTTTGCGCACACATGTATCTACATAAGCTTTATATATAAAAACACCGTCCTTCTTACACAAACTCATACACTCTTATAAGTATTTGTGAAAATATACACAATTGTTTACAGATTTGCGCATACAAATAAACATACATTTTTTACACAAAAACATAAAGTGCAAATACATACTACATTCCATTATGATGGGATCTCCCTTGCCAAAGATAGATGAATCTTCCCGAGCTTGTACGGGTCCTCACAAGACAAGCAGTCAGTCATTATTTTATAGCTGCCATTAACAAGCTTATAGAGGACGTACGAAAATGTTGCTGCTTATGATAACATTTTTATGCTTACTGCCTGCACAGATGCAAAATATAATACAGGCATAAATGATTGCACCTGTGCCGATGCTCACCCTTGCATCTGCCGATGGTCTAAGGGGTCTATGGATCTGTGGGTCAATTCCACAGGTTTTCTGTCAAACTGTTTTTGAATGGGTTGGCAAAAAAGACTCCTAGCTCTCTAACATGTTTTTTGGCACAGTTTGACAAACACCTGAACTTTCCACAGCCTCTCTACATAGATATTCATTTTTGGCTAACCAGATATTGTACTTAGTAACGTGAAGGTGTAGATTACAGATTATAAATACAGCTGAAGAGTGGGTGGACTATGATTGCCGGGGAAACAAGCTGGTGTTAAATTTATTAAAAGAAGCATGATCACTGAGGTGTTCAACCATTCTTCTTCTTATTATTATTAATAGTTAATTCTACAACAGGTGAGGATCTACCTTTGCAAACATTCAGGATCTAGAACATTTGATTAAACACACTGTATTTCTTTTAAGGACAAAAAATGCATGAACTGGCTCAGGTTCCAGAATTTCTTAATACTTTGCCAGCAGCAGACAGGGTGGGAAATAAACCTCCCAAGGCTCTACAGTCTGTGTGGGATTAAAATTATTACATAAAAAAAAAATCACAGCACCAGGAAGGATTTGTGGAGTTCTGAATTAGAAGGGTTAATTGCTCTTTTAGAAGGCCATGAGTAGGGATTTTCCTTTCCCACCACATATATACACCATAAACAAACTCGTAACTGATTCATAACATTCCATAGTAGGGCGATTTCATCAGACAGCCTGAACTGAGAGCCATTGAAAAGAACAAAAGCCACATTCATTGCATCTCAGACATTAAGACCCACACGAATTCTATATACTGCACAGTCACTTCAAATCTGTGCTCTCCACGATGACGATATCTTTCTCTGTGCTTTTGAGGAAGCATGGGTAATAATTTCCACATCACTGCTCCTCTGTCTAAATTAGGCCTAGCCAATAGGTAACTCTCCATCGGTTACATTACCATGACAACAATCCTCAGCCAAATGATGGCTGTGCATTCCAGGAGTTGATACTTTAAAAGGAGATTTAGGACGTATTTTATTTAAAACATGTATGCGTATTCTAGACTTTTTTTCCCCCCAAGCTTATGAGTACATAAATGTAGGAGAAAATTGCTGTATATGACCCTTGCTGTCCATCCTTTATTTTCTGTTGGTCTAATGCTTCTTTACTGAGTGTACAACTGCTTGTGCATGCATAATGATCTCTACAAGCAATGCATATACATCACCAGTTGTGATCAGTTCAAGGTGTCAGTTGTTGGGAATTCATATGTGTTTGAAGTGAATGTTCTATTCTAGGTCAAAAAAGCATAGGCGCCAACAGTCATGAATTTGCCAGGACAGTCCCATACTTTTTAAATATACCAGTTGACTTCTAAATGCAGGAGTGGACTGGGCACTAGCACTATCCCAGAACACTTCGGCAGCGGTCCGTGTGTGACCTCCTTGAGGAGACAGGCTGTCAGTAAGCCTGGCAACCCTCTTTAGAGCCCACCCCTTTGATGAGCAGTTCCGCCACTTTGACCCTGTGCAGCCTGCTTTCTTCCCTGCCCACCTCTATCCCTGAATGTATACAGGGAAGGTTGGCAGATATGCGTAGCAAAGTGAAACATAGCTGATTTGGACAATACTTCTTATTCAGCTATTTTGGGCTAAAATTTTAATTCACCTTGAATTTACTTTAAGGTACCGTATATACTCGAGTATAAGCCGACCCGAATATAAGCCGAGGCCCCTAATTTTACCCCAAAAAACTTGGAAAACTTATTGACTCGAGTATAAGACTAGGGTGGGAAATGCAGCTACTGGTAAATTTCTAAATAAAATTAGATCCTAAAAAAATTATATTAATTGAATATTTATTTACAGTGTGTGTATATAATGAATGCAGTGTGTGTATGAGTGCAGTGTGTGTGTATGAGTGCAGTGTGTGTATATGAGTACAGTGTGTGTGTATGAGTGCAGTGTGTGTGTATGAGTGCAGTGTGTGTATGAATGCAGTGTGTGTATGAATGCAGTGTGTGTGTGTGAGTGCAGTGTGTGTGTATGAGTGCAGTGTGTATATGAGTGCAGTATGTGTATGAATGCAGTGTGTGTGTATGAGTGCAGTGTGTGTGTATGAATGCAGTGTGTGTGTGTGAGTGGAGTGTGTGTGTGTGAGTGCAGTGTGTGTGTATGAATGCAGTGTGTGTGTATGAGTGCAGTGTGTTTGTGTGTGTGTTTGTGTGTGTTGCAGAGCCTTGGTGGGGGGTGGGCATTTTTATTATTATTTTTTTAATTATTTTAATAATTTTTTTGTTTTATTAATATTTTGTTATTATTATTTTTTATTTTATTATTATTTTTAATATTTTATTATTATATTTATTTATTTTTGTCCCCCCTCCCTGCTTGATACATGGCAGGGAGGGGGGCTCTCCTTCCCTGGTGGTCCAGTGGCATTGGCAGTTCAGTGGGGGGAAGAGGGGGACTGGCAGAGCTGTTACTTACCTCTCCTGCAGCTCCTGTCAGCTCTCTCCTCCTCCGCTCCGGTCCGTGCAGCACCTTGGTCAGCTCCCAGTGTAAGTCTCGCGAGAGCCGCGGGGTCATAGTGCGGCTCTCGCGAGACTTACAGTGTGAGCTGAGAGAAGAGCTGCACGGACCGGCGCGGAGGAGGAGAGAGCTGACAGGAGCTGCAGGAGAGGTAAGTAACAGCTCTGCCAGCCCCCAGTCTGTATTATGGCAATATAAATTGCCATAATACAGACTGACTCGAGTATAAGCCGAGTTGGGGTTTTTCAGCACAAAAAATGTGCCGAAAAACTCGGCTTATACTCGAGTATATACGGTAGTCACTGGTATCCAGTATATATATCTACTTAGTATCTGTCATTGAGCTGCATCGTGGAAGCACTGTATAGGAGTATGTGTGATATCTTGCACATATAACAGACATGTTCCCATTAATCTTCATGGGAGAAGCAGTTTTAGCTCCTGAATTTCATCAGCACAAGAAAGGGCAACATAGGATAAGTACTCAAGAGTATAAAAGACAGTTTACTTTGCAACAGGGATTCACTGAATTATTATTTTTTATAAAAACAGTGTGATCAGCTGGCACAGACATAAAGAGTGTCTACCCTTGAAGGTAGCATCCGAAAGGAGAAGCATTAACCTCCCCAGCCTCCCTCTTTAATTCAGCCCTCCCCATCTCACCTATAACCTTAATGTTCATCCATTAAAAAAATAAATAAAACAATCACGACATTAAAATACTGGCCAAGATACTAGCGGAAAGACTATTCCCACATCTAAAGACGCTAATCCACGTAGACCAGGTAGGCTTCATCCCCGGACGACAACTATTCGAAAACACTAGACGAAACATAGACCTAATCTGGACACAGATGACCGCACACACCCCAACACTAGTACTATCCCTTGACGCCGAGAAGGCATTTGACAGGGTGAAATGGACATATCTGTTTGAACTCCTACGTCACCTCAGGTTCCCTGAGACATACATTCAGACGATCCAAGCGATGTACACCGACGTTAAGGCACACATTTGGATCCCGGGTGCCCTAACCGCTCCTTTCACCCTCCACAATGGCACACAACAGGGCTGCCCACTGTCACCCCTATTATTCGTTCTCACACTGGAACCCCTGATGCAGGCAGTAAGATCACACCAATCCATACGGGGAATTTCAGTGGGAGACCAGACATACAAAATTTCTGGAAACGCTGATGACATCCTTCTCACACTTACAGATCCAGAGAACTCAATGAGGGCCTAGCTAAAGGAATACGGTGCCCTATCAGGCTACAGGGTCAATCTGTCTAAGTCCACTGCTCTCCCGATAGCCATGACAACGACTGATACAACACACATACAAACCCAATACCACATACCCATAGCCCAACACTCTATAAAATACCTACGGGTACACTTAACTGCTGACCCTAAACAGCTGTTTAACCCCTTAAGGACACATGACATGTGTGACATGTCATGATTCCCTTTTATTCCAGAAGTTTGGTTCTTAAGGGGTTAAGGCCAATTACACTACCCTCCTAAGAAGCCTAAGCGCTGACCTAGACAATTGGGTAGACAAACCAATATCTTGGATAGGAAGAGTCCATACAATAAAAATGAATGTGCTTCCGAGACTCCTCTTCCTTTTCCAAGCACTGCCCATACCTATTGCCAAATCAGACTTTATCAGAATTTATCTGGCAACACAAACGGCACAGGATATCGCGTAACATAATGTACAGACCCAAAGATGGAGGTGGACTGGGCCTGCCCCACCTATACAATCCTTGAGGGCACAGAATGGAGGGAAATATGGGAAGCAAACAAAGCCACCTTAATATGCATCAGGAATAGGCCTATAAAACTATGCTTAGATGGTACACCACCCCCGTTAAACTGTACCACATGAGAAAAACACCAGACGATTTGTGCTGGAGGGGATGCGGACATAAAGGGACATACAAACACATGTGGTGGGACTGCCCTAAAGAACAGGCCTTTTGGAAAGACGTAGGGAACCTTCTGGATAAGGTATTGAACAAAAAAGTGACAATAGATCCCTAGGTGTTCCTGCTTTCCAGGTCAATAGAAGACTGGTCAAGGGGGGAACAAAAACTCCTCCACAAAATCACCCGGCTCACCATAGCACAGGCGTGGCTTAAACCTGCAATCCCCCAGATAAACACGGTAATTCAAAAAAATACCTCACGGCACTGGTGAGAGGCACCATGAAATCATTTGATAAGGTTTGGGACTTGTAGACAGCAGGGGACTGGGAGGACTAAGATTAAGACTAGGTGGGGAAGCCCCTCACGCCATGAATACAAATAGAACTTAGCTGAGCTTCCTTCAGAGCTCCGATTTTTACCATGAGGGGGACTACTCCCTATTTCACTCCCCCCCCCTCCTCCTTTTACAATATTCTTTTCGTAAGTAATAAATAAGATCTATCACCGCCGATGGGGTGAGACCACGACCGTCCATTTATGGCCGAGAGAGGAAAAGGTCCAAAACAAATGGCTCACTCCACGACAGTTAAGATTTTATAAAGAAGCCAAAGGTTACTCGGTTTGTTTGTTATAATAAAATGAAAAAAGTTTTATGTCATCAACAAGCAATCTACACACCACATTGTGACAAGGTTAATAATACTGAGCAATAGAAAATGATTTGTTATTATTGTGAAAAGCTAATAACATGTAATGAAAAACCCTTTATGACTCTGTATTGCAATGACATACCAAAAATAAAGAATTCTAAAAAAAATTATATTTTATTTTTGGGGGCTCGACTTACCAAATAATGCCTGGCAGTGCATTAGAAAGGTGAAAAAAAGAACATTGTAAAAAAAAGGTTTCAAGTAACTCCAACGTTGCAAAAGGTTTTCAAGTATATCCAATGGTGCAAAGGACCCTTGATAAATCCTGATAAAGACACAGTTTCTGTCAAAATGTTGCTATTCTTTGGGTGACAATCAATTAATCTTTTGACATATCTAGCCGTGCTGGGCCTTTGTGTTAAACTATATATTCTTTAATAGTAACATGTACGTACATGAGTACTTGAAGAGATGTATCTCCTTCTCTGAAATGCACATTGTAACAAGAATAACTTGCAGTTTATATTTCTAGGAAAACCTGAACAGTATCATTTAACCATTAATAGTCATTGTTTGACTATTTGTACCTGGCCTCATTTTATTGAACAGCCCTTGCACATGTTTAGCAAAATTCAAAACCAGAAGTCCTATTTGGTTTATTCTAAAGGCAAGGGGCATACGAGCGCAAACTGTAAGCACTCAATGTTTAACGAGCCACAAAACTTCAAAAACAACTTTACTTCTGAAGTCCAAAAGCAGACAGGACCTAGTCAATGATAGTGTATCACTGCTGCACAAAATAAATGAACGTAGAAAGAAAGGCTCTAGAGAGGATGCGACATAACCACCTAATAAGAGTTATTTACACACACATTTATAACTCTCTCTGGCAAAAAAAAATTTTTCTAAAACTTTGCACATTTATTAGAAATAAAATGAAATATCACATTGACATACTTATTCAGACCCTTTGCTATAAGACGTGAAACATAGCTCAGATGCATCCTATTTCTCTGCATCATTTTTGAGATATTTCTACACTATTATTACTATGGCAAATTCGATTGATTGGACATGATTTGGAAAGGCATACACCTGACTATATCAGGTCTCACAACTGTAAATGCATATCAGAGAAAAAAAACAAGCCATCAGGTCAAATGAAGTATCTACAGAGCTCAGATACAGGATTGTGTCTATGTACAGATCTGAGGAAAGTAACAAAACATTCAGCTGCATTGAAGGTTTCTGTAGCACAGCGGTCTCCAATTTTGTTTTGTTTTTTACATAGAAGAAGCTTGGAATAGCCAGGAGATGGCTGCCTGGCCAAAGTGAGCAATTGGGGGAGAAAAGCCTTGGTAAGAGAGGTGACCAAGTGCCTGATGGTCACTCTGGGTAAGCTCCAGAGATCATGGAAGGGAGCTAACGTGCGATGGCTGGGCAGATTCCGAAATTGTCCCGCCACAAGCAGGAGGCCTGATTGTTTCACTTTCCAAACCGACCTTGACTTAAAACGAATTGATGTGGAACTTACTGCAAAAGACAGGTACCAAACAAAGCATGATTTAATCAATGCCTTGATTGACAAGCAATTAAATTGTTAGAAAACAAACGCTACATTTTGTTTTCTGAAATACATATTCAATGGAACAATAAATGAACCTGTTTGCGGTACCTGAACATCTTGTTTACAGAACACCAAGTCTGGCGGAGATTTACAGACAGACATTATATTATATCTCATTTACAGTGAAACATAAGAAATCAGCTTATCGTTGCTTTCAAGAATGCAAGCGATCTCTTTGTTTAAGATGCACATGCTAGTTGGTGAAGATCTGCTTGTCTATTTTGTCTAGGTGCTGATACAATGGTCTAATATTTCTTACATTTCTGTTTGCTACATTTAAAAGCTAACCCAATTCCTGATTTGTTATGCACATGGGCCATTAATATGGCTACTGATGCCTCAGGAAATACTTTGAAATCTATGCTGCATGCAAGCAACTGATCATTAAAATTCAAACAGTGAAATCTTGCATTCACTTCCCATTGTTCTTTAACCTCGACTTTGTGGCCCCAAAGGAATTCCACATTCAGTATATAGATCTGCCAACAGAATTAAACACAAGCAATAATGCATTATCTATCTCGGAGATAGGAAGACGGGCTCCATAGCTATTGGTGGACTACAACCCCTATTACCCTCCATCAGCTGATTTGTACTCTGTTTTAGGCTGCATTATTAATTTTATGTAGAGAATGACAACAAACAGAGCTTTTTGTAGATAGAACAACTAAACTGGGGCGAGGGGCACATTAGTAAACCAATAGTGTCATGACATAAGCTGTTACAATCAAGATCGTTTCTTGCTCAAGTCAATATAAATATGATTTATTGTTCTTTGCCCTTGAATAAGATGATCTAATTTTCAGTGAAGGTCGCACTGAAAAAGGAACATGAATTGTGCAAGATAGTGGTTAGAGGTTTGCGACATTAAGCAATGAGATAAATTGTAACACACTCATTTTTGGCTACCTGACAGAGTTATAGGACTTGGCCGACAGCCAGGAGGACACAAGTTGCCTCATCCAAATTTAGATTTGTTTTCATTAAAGAGACTGTATTATAAGCTTGGATGCAAATTGAAATGTTCTAAAAACAAAACACATGTAGCTCTTGTGTTAAACTGGCAATATTGTTTTCAGGGACAATATGGCCAAAGTAATACATGAACAAGCGTTGGACATCCAAACAAAATTTCTATTTCTGGAAAAACAACTCAGCTGAACTGAACTTTCCTGCCATGCACAAGCCTAGTAATCACAACTAAAGGTTGAAATTCTTCTCAATGAAGTGCTCCTCTTTAGTAAATCTACATAAACCCACTGCACACAAACTTCACACTTCTGCATTTCGTGGAATCAAAATACTGTACCAAAACTGTGTTTTTACTACTATATTTTATTTTTGTTATATGGATGAGTTGGAATAAAATCTATTAATATTTAGCCTTAAAGGATTACTCTAACCCTTTTTTTTTATATTTTGGATTGTTCATATGCACAGCCAGGACTTAGGGTGTCTCACAGAGTCGGGCAGTAGAAAAGGGGATTTGACCACTGTGTGCACACAATGCATGTGAGGAGAATAGAGATTTACAGCTTTGTCCTCTGGCATCTAGGACAAAAGGGACAGGCTAGTAGCTGCAGAAACCATTATAAAGATCTACAGTTATAAGCAACTTGGACAGGGAGACATGGACATCATAGTGAACCTCCTTGATTCAAGGAGAACCTCATAAGCAAATGTGTAAATGTCGTGGCCATTGATTTCAATCTTTATATGGTTTATTCACATACACACACACACACACACACACATACATACATATATATATATATATATAAATAAAACGAAAATTTCAGCTTTGGAAAAAATAACATGGGGCATGTGACTTTAAGAGGGTGAAATATCCCAGTATGCAGAACAAACACACAGGTTTCCATCCAGCAAATTAGGAAGATGTACCTTTCAGCAAGATCTTCTGACGGCCCAGGAAAAAGAAAAAATGCAATTCTGGGGCATTATGATAAAATGTGAAAACAATCACCATGGAAACTGACTGAATGGTTCTGCTGATATAAATCATTGCCCCAGCATTGTTCTTTATAAATAATCACTACTGAGGAACCACCTCACATTTATTTTTATTAATCTCACAGCACAACTCTACATAAATGGGAAATTTTTTAATTTTCTTCAAGGGTTACTGCAGGCACCATAACCACTACAGCCCACTGGTGTACATACCGCGGTCGCAAGGGTCGCAGCTGCGACCGGGCCCGTCACTCCGGGGTTACTACCGGGTACTCGCCACCATGTTTTACGGTCCCGGCCCACGCAACAGCGCAACCGGGCCCCCTGTGATGATGTCAGACAGAGCTGGGAGGAAATGACTGCCCTGGTCTCTCCTCCCAGCTATCAAAGAGCCGTGTGGGAGGAAGGAGAGGAGGGAGTCAGAGTGGGAACTCTGACTCCCATCAGGCTGAGCCCCCACGGCACCCCAGGGAATGTCACCCTCCTGCAAAAGGTAGGAAACAGGAGGGTGACTTAAACATTTTGTTTATCTATGTGTCTGTGTGTATGTGTGTGTCTCTGTATGTATGTGTGTATGTATGTTTGTCTGCATGTGTGTGTATGTATGTGTCTGTATGTGTGTGTCTGTGTTTATGTGTCTGTGTGTGTAAGTATGTGTCTCTGTGTATGTCTGTCGGAGGGGTGTGTGTATGTGTGTGTATATGTGTGTGTCTGTGTGTTAGGTCCACCCGATGGGTATAGATTTCCAGGGGGCCCAGTCAGCGCTGGGCGCTTTAACAGTGCAACTGGGCCCCCTGTGATGATGTCAGACAGAGCTGGGAGGAAGTGACTGCCCCGGTCACTCCTCCCAGCTATCAAAGAGCCGCGTGGGAGGAAGGAGAGGAGGGAGTCAGAGTAGGAACTCTGACTCCCATCAGGCTGAGCCCCAACGGCACCCCAGGGAAAGTCACCCTCCTGCAAAAGGTAGGAAACAGGAGGGTGACTTAAACATTTTGTTTATGTATGTGTATGTGTGTGTCTCTGTATGTATGTGTGTATGTATGTTTGTCTGTATGTGTGTGTCTGTGTTTATGTGTCTGTGTGTAAGTATGTGTCTCTGTGTATGTCTGTCGGAGGGGTGTGTGTATGTGTGTGTATATGTGTGTGTCTGTATATATGTGTGTATGAATGTATGTGTCTGTCGGGGGGTGTATGTGTATGTCTGTCTATGTGTGTGTATGTGTCTCTGTATGTGTATATTTGTCTGTGTGTGTGTGTCTGTATGTATGCTTGTGTCTGTATGTATGTGTCTGGGGTGGGGGGCCCACGGATCAGTTTCGCACCGGTGCCCCATGGATTGTGTGTACGCCACTGCTCATAGCTTACCTGGGTCTCCAGTTAGTGCCTAATCTCCTATGGTCCAGCTTCTGCAGTGAAATGAATGAGCATCTATGTGTAGAAATATGCACAAAATTGACAATAGCCAGCTGAGAATTCTTTTACTGGGCTGGCTGATGACGCACCAGTGGTGCTGCCAGAGGTAAAGTTCCGGCAGCAGAAGGGAGTATTCTCCAAACTTTAATCAGACGTTTCAAATAATTAAAGAGGTTATGGTACTTGGAGTAACTGTTTAATGCCCCAGGCTTTTAATATTATGTAATAAGCATATGCACATTCTTGCATATGTTGACTAGGTCTATGGCGGCAGGGTGGAGGGGGTAGAAGGATTTTGCTATTCTGCCCCAGATTTTTTTTCCTCCAAGACATCAGAGGAATTTGCTGAAATCTGCATCTTCAGAACTCACAGACTCCCAAGCGTGTTTGCTAGTTTTGCACACTGGAGATGTTGTGCCCCTTTTTAGAGTCACATGATCCGTTTCTGTTTTTTAAAGTCACATGACCCATATCTGTTTTTTTTGAGCTTAGTGGTTAATTGGTTTAGTGTGCTGGATCTTATACAAAAAAAAAAAAAAAATGAAAAAAATTAAAATTATATATATATATTTTTTAAAATTCATTTATTTATTACTGGCATGTATAAAGCGCCAACATATTGTGCAGCGCTGTACAATTGGGAGAACAATACAATGTAAACAGACCAAAACAAAATATATGTTATGAAGTGTAAAATATATGCTAAAGTGCTAAAACAATTTAGAAAAGTGTAATCTCTAGGCAAATGCTGAATCACAACACACATTTTGACTTTCTAAATGCTGATGGCTGCTTTCCTGCTATCTCTTACATTTTATCTTCTACAACAGAGTTGCTAACTTTACTCATTGAGAGGGAGATGGTAATCTCTTTGACATTGTCAAGCCCATGTTTTGTAATACTGCTCAGTATTGGATTAGGGGCTTCGAGGGCCTGGAGATGAAATTTAAACTGAAAACAAGAAAGAAAAAGAAAATAGAACGAGCCTTTTGTAGATAACCCCTAAATAGTGAGTTTAGAATACACAGAAAAAAGAAAAACAAAAAACCTCTACCTATAGGTGTACCATCTCTTAGGGAGAGGAATATAAAATATAACTTGTATTTGACTATTAAAATATATACAGGGGATAAATAAATAAAGAATTGGGGTAAAATCAATCCAAGAGAACAGTCCTTTCTGTTATATCACAGTTACAGCAATATAAATGAATGCTGTAATTGTAGTAGAATGCAATATTTTCGTTCTCTATATCTCAGTATAGAGCTACTGTACTAGTAGCAGTTTACTACATTCAGCAGAACATAGATACTTTGTATCACTGTGTACTGGAGATACAAATGCTGAAGTATGAGGGCAGAGAGACAGAGTTTATACACAGCTAACGCTTCCAAGTATAGCATGAGAGTATATATTGAATACTGCTAAGAGTTAACATCAGGGAAATAAACTGGTTCCTAAGAGGTGAATGCTCCTAAGTCTAAAGTATGAAATCACTAGTGCCTTCGAGGGCACCCCTTAGCAAAAAACCTGCTCTATTGCTAACCCCCCTGCTGCTGATACTAATGATCGAGAGATAAATAGAGAGAGAAAGGATTTAAATATAAAGGACTGTAGACTTGGTAATTTGCGGACGCTTTGGATTATAGTGTCGGCTAGCCATTAATAATTGCAGGAAAGAGAGACCGGCACTAATAATGTCTCGAGTGAGCGTCCTG